AGAGAGAGAGAGATGAACTAAAGGAGGTAGAGGGATGTAAAGTGAAGTTAAAGGGAGGGAGCGATTAACTAAAAGGAGGTAGAGGGATGTAAAGTGAAGTTAAAGGGAGGGAGCGATGAACTAAAAGGAGGTAGAGGGATGTAAAGTGAAGTTAAAGAGAGGGAGCGATGAACTAAAGGAGGTAGAGGGATGTAAAGTGAAGTTAAAGAGAGGGAGTGATGAACTAAAGGAGGTAGAGGGATGTAAAGTGAAATTAAAGAGAGGGAGCGATGAACTAAAGGAGGTAGAGGGATGTAAAGTGAAGTTAAAGGGAGGGAGCGATTAACTAAAAGGAGGTACAGCGATGTAAAGTGAAGTTAAGGAGAGAGCGATGAACTAAAAGGAGGTAGAGGGATGTAAAGTGAAATTAAAGAAAGGGAGCGATGAACTAAAGGAGGTAGAGGGATGTAAAGTGAAGTTAAGGAGAGAGCGATGAACTAAAAGGAGGTAGAGGGATGTAAAGTGAAGTTAAAGAGAGAGAGAGATGAACTAAAGGAGGTACAGCGATGTAAAGTGAAGTTAAGGAGAGAGCGATGAACTAAAAGGAGGTAGAGGGATGTAAAGTGAAGTTAAAGGGAGGGAGAGATGAACTAAAAGGAGGTAGAGGGATGTAAAGTGAAGTTAAAGAGAGAGAGAGATGAACTAAAGGAGGTACAGCGATGTAAAGTGAAGTTAAGGAGAGAGCGATGAACTAAAAGGAGGTAGAGGGATGTAAAGTGAAGTTAAAGGGAGGGAGAGATGAACTAAAGGGAGGTAGAGGGATGTAAAGTGAAGTTAAGGAGAGAGCGATGAACTAAAAGGAGGTAGAGGGATGTAAAGTGAAGTTAAAGAGAGAGAGAGATGAACTAAAAGGAGGTAGAGGGATGTAAAGTGAAGTTAAAGGGAGGGAGAGATGAACTAAAGGGAGGCAGAGGGATGTAAAGTGAAGTTAAGGAGAGAGCGATGAACTAAAAGGAGGTAGAAGGATGTAAAGTGAAGTTAAGGAGAGAGAGAGATGAACTAAAAGGAGGTAGAGGGATGTAAAGTGAAGTTAAAGGGAGGGAGAGATGAACTAAAAGGAGGTAAAGGGATGTAAAGTGAAGTTAAAGGGAGGGAGAGAGATGAACTAAAGGAGATAGAGGGATGTAAAGTGAAATGAAAGAGAAGCAGCGATGAACTAAAGGAGGTAGAGGGATGTAAAGTGAAGTTAAAGAGAGGGAGCGATGAACTAAAGGAGATAGAGGGATGTAAAGTGAAATGAAAGAGAAGGAGCGATGAACTAAAGGAGGTAGAGGGATGTAAAGTGAAATGAAAGAGAAGGAGCGATGAACTAAAGGAGGTAGAGGGATGTAAAGTGAAGTTAAAGAGAGGGAGCGATGAACTAAAAGGAGGTAGAGGGATGTAAAGTGAAGTTAAAGAGGGAGAGCGATGAACTAAAAGGAGGTAGAGGGATGTAAAGTGAAGTTAAAGGGAGGGAGAGATGAACTAAAGGAGGTAGAGGGATGTAAAGTGAAGTTAAAGAGAGGGAGCGATGAACTAAAAGGAGGTAGAGGGATGTAAAGTGAAGTTAAAGAGAGGGAGCGATGAACTAAAAGGAGGTAGAGAGATGTAAAGTGAAGTTAAAGAGAGGGAGCGATGAACTAAAAGGAGGTAAAGAGATGTAAAGTGAAGTTAAAGAGGGGGAGCGATGAACTAAAAGGAGGTAAAGAGATGTAAAGTGAAGTTAAAGAGAGGGAGCGATGAGCTAAAAGGAGGTAGAGGGATGTAAAGTGAAGATGAAGTAAAGTTAATTGAGGAAATGAGTTTTCCACATATTTTCTGTAACATTTTAGTGAAAGACAACAGTCAGTATTGTGCGTTTATGTGGAAACAGCCTCCCACAGATGCCTTTAGTGTCTTCTGAGTGTAGCTGTAGCCATCAGTCTGTTTTATCAGCCTGCCTAAAGTGGGCGGCAGGATCGCCGGGTCACGTGACCAGAGCGCTTGACCCAGTTTTGTCCAATTAACATCGAGCGGCCGCCCTCTCAGCGGTCACGTTGAAACTCACGCAGCTGCTCAAGTTTTCTGAAGAGAGGAGGCGAGGCTTACAAATCAGCCCCGGCGTTTTATTTTTTTAATCAAGAAAGCTGCAGTCGTTTCTCCTAACCGTCTCTGGTGGAACCTATTCTCTCTCATGACGCTGTTGTGGGCACATTTTTGGTACCCTACATCTGTCAGTATTGTGAAACGTATTTATTTTCCTCTTTTTAAGTTTCCTTGGCAACCGGTTGCTAAAGCAATAGATGTAACGTCCCCTGTAGAAAGTAGGCCACGACTGGCCACTCCTCTTCTAATGTGGAGCACGACGAACCACATGTTGCTACATGTGTCTGACAAACTGGAAACAGATTGCAGACTGGGCTTGTTTACAAATGTATCTCTTGACATTTCGTCTTCTTTGGAAAATCATTTCAGAAATAATTGCCATTTTCTTTTTTTCATCGCTATACTGCTTTTCCTATAAAGTCCATAAGGCTGCCTTGTACCGCTTAAGGTATAGGTAGACCGTCTGTTTAACAGCTAAACGCATCTTCAAACGACAACCTGTCCTTAAAGGGGAATTCCACCAATTTTTCAAAATTTATATATATATTTTTGGCATAATTCCGTCGTTGCGATGTGAACAAAGTCAGAGTGGTTTGATATAAAATGGCTCGTTGTGGAGAAAGTTACAGACTGTTTTTTTTTTTTTTCACAGTGCTGGTGATAGGAACCAGGGGTCACAATATCTATAACACAAATATAGTCATTTTATTCACTACCCAAAACCACCAGTGAACCTGCGTGTGTCTTTTGAGTTTTTGTAATGTTGATGATGGTAAAATAGTCATAAATCTGAAAAAATAAGTTTTCTCTGGGGGCTATTTTGCCTTACAATGCTCTTTGTGTATCTCTCCACCATGAATGGATTAAAATAAATGAATTAACATTTTTGGCCAAAATGTCATCACAAAACTATTGTAAAATAATGTCTCAGACATCAGGCAGCGTTTTCATAACAATTTCATGTAATAACTTTATGTGAGGTAGCTTTTAGAGATGGACTTCTGGTTCCTATCACCAATTCTAACAAGAACAATTCTAACTCTAAGTTTCTCTAGAACAGAGCATTTAACATCAAACCACTCTGAATGATTTTTGTTTATATGTTCACCATTTAATTATGTAGAAATTTGTAGAAACACACCAAACAGTACAAACAAACTTCAACATAAGACAACATAATACATAATATACCTGTGCTGATTTATTGAGATACAGGTTTCCAAATGCAACGATTAACAGGGAGAGATGTTTGTATAATAATCACAAGAGGACCTGCAGTACCACTGAGGATAAGCATGGATGGTGTTTTCATATACATAATACCAGATATCCTAAACACTTTCTTTCATAATGGTGATTTTTGTAACCCAAGATATCTGTAGATATTTATAGTAGTTGTATTAGTCAAGTGCTTGTCACGAATATCTATTAGACTGCAGCCCTCAAATCCAATGTTTCATCGAAGAGGACCTTGAGAAGTAATGACAAATCCTATTTTACAGAATGACAATGTTTCACGCTTAATTTAAAAATGTAATCATATTTGGTAGTCTGTTTTTTAGAAGGCCACCTGTATTTCTGTGTGAGAGGGATGGCCAGGCAAGCGTATGTGTGGTTTGTGTGATTTTAAATTCCTGGAAGCAGATATATTTAACAGCACATGCTTGGGAGAGAAAAAAATCAATACTCCTCGCTCTAGGCACTAAGTGCTTTAAGTCGTGCACAACAACTCAGCAATGTTTTCCTTGAAACCAACACAATACAGAAGACATTTTACTTTAACAAAAAAAGTAAACCTGAAATCAAAATAGGTTCATCAACTGAACTTTATTTCTACCACAACAAAATCGGAACATATTCCCAGATAAAATAGGGAAAACACTGAAATGTATCTTTCTACTATAAATCTATGTTGTTAGGCAGAGTTTCAAATAATAAAAGCTTAAAGCGAACCTGCAAATCGCAAAGCAAGCCTGCTAAGACAAGTCATTTTCAGAAAATATGCACATAAGGCTTAGGGTACAACAGAGACAACTAAAACCACACATGCAACAGCAGATGTGTTTACATGTGTGCTACGCTTACAGTTATAAACTCCACAAAGGTTTACAACAGTAATATTGCTTTTGTTGTGTTGACAATATCAGAGTGCATGAAAACGACACATGAACGCACAATTATGCCTCACTAACACACCATAGTGGACTGAGGGATGTTTTCCATTCAACTGTAGCAGATAAGAAGGCATCTAAAACAGTTTAACAATAATAAATGTCCACTGCTTGAGATTTGTTACTGACAGACTTAACTACACTAAAAAATCTACCATTTGAATGTCAGTCAAAAGATGAAGTCTATTTAAACTGTGTTTATGACCGACACATCTGATCTTAGTGATCAGCACTCTGAAAAGCTCACTTTTTCCTCTCACAGACTTTCCCATTTATACATAAAGGGGACATGTACTCTGACTTCAAAGAGTTTTGACATTGTTTGACTGGAGAATGGGAAGGGTGTTTTTGGAGAATGGGAAGGGTGAATAGGCCTTGGCCTTTGTTTTGATCTAGATACTAAGAAAAGAGCAAAGAACAGAGTAGAATAAGGAGGGAAATTCCTGAAATGGAAGAAAAAGTAGGCAGATGGAGGAAAACAGGATTCAGTAAGAGTGCCAGATCACTTATAGTTCAACCTCTGGTCCCTTTTTCAGTCTAGTGACCTGTCTTATATATTATGTGTTGATTTTTTGAATACTTAACATTATACACTGATCAGCCATAATATTAAAACCACCTCCTTGATCCGACACCCTCTGCCCATTTTATCAGCTCCGCTGACCATGTAGGTAAACTTTGTAGTTCTACAATTACAGACTGTAGTCCATCTGTTTCTCTGCATACTTTGTTAGATGAGTGGTACGAGTGGATCAGCGACAGCAATGCTGCTGGAGTTTTCAAACACCTCAGTGTCTCTGCTGGACTGAGATCGGTCCACCAACCAGCCAACATTGTCCTGTGGGCAGCGTCCTGTGACCACTGATGAAGGACTAGAGGATGACCAACACAAACTGTTTAGCAACAGATGAGCTTTTACATCTACAAGGTGGACCAACAAGGTAGGGGTATCTAATAGAGTGGACCATGACTTGACACAGTGAAGAACAAAACTGGCAGTGAGTGTAGAAACAAGGAGGTGGTTTTAATGTTATGGCTGATTGGTGTATGTGGTCAGCAGATATAAAATCAGTGACTTAGCAAAAAAGCCTCTAATAGAAACTGCTGCATATTGTAGGTCAGTTTTTGAAACTGCGAAAACAGAGATTCTGAACAACACCTGTTGTCAGCCTAAGGCGACGAGACCTGACACACCCACTCGATCATTTTCATATGTAAATTTACCATGGTTTGGTCTGGATGGGTCAGAGGAAGCCCTAGGATGACCATGCTGCTGTTTTGGCAATTTTTGAATGAGGCTGCTAATAATACTAGTCACTTTTAGATACTTCAAGAAATAGTGATTATACCCCAAGCTTATCCACACTGAAATGAAAACCAAGCCCTGTCAAATACCTGTCAGAGAGGCCTGCTGAGCATGAAATATTAATCAGTGCTGAAATTATTCTACCTGTGAAGTTGAATTCAGTTGTATTCAGTGCAATTGTTTAGTATCTAAAACACATGATCTTCACGGAAAAGTGAGAAGTGAGCAGGCAAAGCCAATTCTGTGATGATGTGTGATTTAGCCCTTTGCCTCTGGAGTGTTCTGGGCTTGGTCATTTGCTTCTGGTTCCGAAAGACCCAAAGAGTTCATCACAGGGTGAGTCCATGATGTCGTCTGAGTCACATGACTGGACAGAAAAAAGACACACAGCACATCAAACCATTTCAGTGAACAAGTGAACAGGCCTCATTTTCCCAAAAGCATTGTGTTGTTAAGGGGGTAGTTTTTTCCATTATAATTGGTGGAGCCTTATTTATAATAGTTAGGATCATCTTAAGATGCTTTTAGGAGCTGTTCAGTTGTAAGATGATCTTCATACTATGATGCTTTTGGAAGCCAAGTCTCATTCGTACCCATGACAAAAGTAAAACATTATAAGCCTTAACATTTACACACATTACATTTATTACGCACTGCCATTACTCCAGAAAAACAGCAGAAACAGGTCAAACCATTTAATTTAGCCAATACTCCATTTACCCTCGCTGTCTGAAGTGAAAGCACTGTCACTAGTATTAGCTAGCTTAGGAAATGGAATGAATGAATGAATTAAATGAAACTTTTAGCCAACTGTGTCTGAACACATCGGAATTAGACCTCCGCATTTAACCCATCCATGCAGTGAAACACCACATACTCACTAGTGAACACACACACACTAGGAGCGGTGGGCAGCCCTATCCACGGCGCCCGGGGAGCAGTTTGGGGTTAGGTGCCTTGCTCAAGGGCACTTCAGTCACGTACTGAGGGGATCGAACCTGCAACCTTCCGGTCACAAGGCTGTTTTCCTAACCTCCAGCCCACGACTGCCCCAGAATTCACAGCATGAAGACTATTTTGTAACATCAGTTGTGCTTTGGACCCCTTCCCCGAGCAGTTGAATCTGATGACTGTGAGCGTGTTGAAAGAATATTTTAAACAGAACTCAGTCAAAACTCAGTCAGAACTCAGTCTTCCGAGGATGTTAGAGAATAATCTACTATTGTCATCATAACGCTAGTATAATGTTGTATTTGCATTTGAGACCTAAACATCTTTTTGAGCCTGTGCGTGTGACGTATCCCACCAGTAATGCTACTTGTTTCAATTCTAACAAAAAATTCTTACATGGTGCCTGCTTTGAATAATCACACTTATATAAATACAGTATAAAGATGGAATAGTAAAGACAGTCATTTCATATAACTTGTCTAAACTTACTTGATGTAGTATTTGACACCATCTGCAGTATAAGCTTCATCCCAGCCATAGGGTAAGCCTGAGAGGAGAAAGATAAAATGATACCAGTTACTAACATCATTCCACTTGTTTTAAAGTTGGAAGAAAACAGTGTTTAGTGTGACACATTTTTATTGAGCTTCTACACTGTCAACAGTGAGATTTTCCTGGCTGCAGTGTATGCAACTGGATCAAATGAGGTCAAATATGTGCATGCTGAGTGTCTCATCATGCAAGAACACACTCTTCGGAGCCAAAACACAATCCAAGTGCTTTGTTGGGTTTTGATTTAGTGTACTGTATTACAAAGTTGAAATACTGAATTTAATGTGCATATGTAGTCTACAGTAGACAATCCTTCTACTGTCCTTCAGTTATTTTTTGGTATTTAAAATCTCCATCTCATTACCCAAAAACAGATGTTGAAAACTATGCTATAATATTATGAATCATAGCTAGTGATCACATTTAAAAGAACACTTGAAACCAGTGAAAAGAGTTATCAAGCCCTGTAATGAATCCCGATGGATTTACATGGGGCAGTCCTACTAAATTTAAATCCCTGCCAGAACATGATCCTGAAACGCCCTCTGTATGATAGGGAGCCCGGTACATATCAGTTTATATCCGTCAGTGCACACAATGGACTGACACAGTTCTGTAATGGATTTCTCACCTACAGTAGGAAGAAACTTGATATCACACAAAACAAGTACTTAATAATCAAAAGTGTACAGTGGGTTAAGGGGAACTCCAGCGATTTTTCAAAAGTTCTGCATAATTCAGTTGCTGAGGTCTATACAAAATCACTTAAAGTGTTTGATGTGAAATGGTTCAAAGTACAAAAACTTACTGAATCATATTTTCTTTATAGTGGTGGTGATAGGGGTCACTATGCCTACATTGTATAGCATTGTATAGTGTTGTAGCACTGTATATAGCACACAGTTATTCTTATCCAAAACTACAAGTGAAGCCACATGTCATCTGAGTTTTTATATGTAATGTTCATAATGGTAAAAATCAGAAAAAAGTGTTTTGATTACTATTTTGCTGTACAATGCCTTGCATTTACCTCTCCACCATGAATACACGTTGCAAACACAATTTCTCAAAATTGTTGTAAACCAATCTCTGAGGCGTCGACAGCTTATTTGTAACCACACCTCATGTCATAATTTTCGGTGAGGTAGCTTTTAGAGGTATAAAATGCTTCAGACGTCTGGTTCCTATTACCTTCACTGAGAACAATTCTGACTCTGTAAGTATTTCTCCAACAGAGCATTTTACACCAAACCACTCTGAATGCTTTGTTTACATTTTAACAGTCTATTTATGCAGAAATTTTGAAAAATTGGTGGAATTTTCTTTTAAGACACTGTATACACACATGCAATTATTTTATAACAATATATTTTTAAAGCTACTTTGTCAACTATCTACAAACAGATCTACTGAAAACCTAAACATAACATACTCTCAGAAATGCTCTAGAATTGTATGAAATAAATTCTTAAGGTATTGATTGATTTTTGTACTGGATTTTTAGGATAAACAACACAAAATAAAACATGATCCTTAATTCTTAAAGCTAACAATGCCACTGTTTAACCTTCACACTAGGCTTATGGCACTGTTTTGGACAGTCTAGCATTAGTGAGCAACAGGAGGCTGTTCAAAGCTGGAGCCCTGTGGGGCTTGGCTGCGGACGCATGAAGCCATCACGTCAGAGCAGCTCATCACAAGGCCAGAAAACTCAACCAACCCTTTGTTTACTAGGGACTTTACTCCAATAGCTATGATGAGACTGTTGATTTCTCGGAAAAGAGGAAATAAATTGCTTTGGATGGCTCAAAATATACCCAAATATGAGTGTGTTAGGTTAGGGGGAAACCTACGAGCTACTCAACATTTTTCATTTGTTCTGTTCTCCTTTGGCAGGATGTCTAAAATGAATTTGCAATGACACTAAAGTGTTTCTTCTGGCTTACAGTTGTAATAAAATATTAAGAATTTAATAAATAAATAAATAAATGAAAAAGTTTTTCAAGTTACTAAGTTAGTCCACTGATATGCAAATCTGCGGTCTGTTAGAATTTGATCAGAGCTCTCTCTGTGTCACTATATTGATGAGTCATTGAATAATATGCAGCCAGTCACATGGCTGGCAGAATACTCATCACGTGGAAACCCATTCACTGCCCTTCTCAAGCTAAGGTTGCCCTCTTTTGCCTCAGAGGGTGAGAAGAGGGTGGCAGGCCATGTGCAACTCCAAAAAAATAGACTCTCACCCCCCAGTGGAGAGCACTCAGCTGAAACGTGAGCATCATTAGCTGAGAGGTCACATGGTGCCTAGCATGTGAGACATGTCTCCCTCTCTCTCCATCCTTCTATCTTTCCTGATCCTCTAGCTCCTCTCTGATCATCTTTTTCCCCTCCCCACACTCCTTCACTGGATCTCTGTCATCATCCTCTCTCGTTCATCTACATCCCCTTCTTCCTTTGGTGTATTAAGGTGAGGATATCCATTGCATGAATGAATGGCTACATATATTTCTATTATTTCAAAATTCATTTTGAAATTTTTACTTAATATTTGTTGTTTAAAATAAGTAAGTTGTAATGTCGAGATATGTCATTATTATGACTTAATATCTCATTCATTCAAAAACATTAATAAATAATATCTCATTATTTGACATATGTCTTTATTTCCACATAATATTACTGTTAAAATTCTACCCAAAATCTATCACAAATACAATAATTTATTGAATATTAGCCTATAAGACATTCTTAATCAGAGGACATATATCATATATGCTAGATTTTTGTTGCTTCGATTGAACACAAGCAACGAAACCATTAGTCAGAATGTATCTGACTAATGGTTGGGATGGAATGCAGTTAGACAGTGTGTGAATGGAGTAAAAGGCCCAAAACACACCCCAAGTACAAAAAACGTACAGGACTTCCTTTATAAAGTGAACAACATAACAAGATGTGTTTAAACAACAAGACAATGAGGCAAAACAAGATAATAGCTCAAAAGCTTGAAATAAATGTAATAAATGAAATAAATACAATAATGATATCAAAATTACAAATTACTTATTGGAAACAATTAAATATTAAGTCAAAACAATAAGATAATATCTTAAAATTACAATTAACTAATTTAAAATAATGAGCTATTAAGTCGCAATAATGAGATATTTTGAAATTATAAGTTAGTAATTTGAATATTAAATTACTAATTTGAGATAACAAGATATAAATTCGAAATTGTGACGTCAATATCTTGTTTACAATGCAGGCTTTTTTATAGATTATATTAGACGTGTAATTGTTCATTTTAAAGAGCAGTTCTATTGGCAGAGTTTTCTGTGGACTAACATAGCCATTGCTTAGGTAGCTCTGAAAAAGAAAAAAATACTGGCCATATTCATGACTCAAGGCTAAGACCATTCAAGCTGAAGCAGTCTTTTCTTTAGGTAAACTTGTATGTAAGCTTTGTTTGCTTGCTCATCCATCAACCTGTACATGACAAGCCAAGCAAGTCTGCACAGAGGCATGCTTACCAGCCTATTCAAACTAGAACCTTTCATCTGGAAGACATTACATTATATACATGTTTAAAAATAAAGGAGCCAGAAAGGGTTCTTAGCCTGTTGCCACCGAAGAAACATTTTTGGAACCTCTCACTGGATGGTTCTTTAAAGAATCATTTTTGAATGAGATATGTGAGTATGTGGAACCTTTTTACAGTTTAAAGAATGTCTATATAAGGTTAAGGTCCTAGGAAGAACCCCTAAATTAATAACAAACTTTTACATTTATATGGAGCTCTACACCTACAAAAGGTTCTTCACACTTACATCTCATTTACAAACATGGTTCTTTAGGGAACTAAAATGTTTTTTTTTTTCTGTGGCATCGCTCAAAGAACACTTTTTTAAAACGTATATTTATATATTTCTATCTTCTTGTTCATATATATGAACAAAATTAACTGTGTGTGTGTCTACGTATACATTATGAAATACAATATAAAAAAACCTAACAGGTTCTGAAAACATCATTTGATCATTTTCTAATTACATTAAAAGTCCCTAAGTGATTCATGTCAATAAGCTAATCATTTATCCCCTTGTGGAAAAAGAGCTATAATTCACTGAAAAAGCAGGGGTACGATGTGATACCTGTTACTTTCTTTTTTCATGATCCTGTTCTAAGTTACTCTAAACCTCAGGTTAGCCAGTCAGCAAGTCATCTTACATGAGGATACATGTAATTAGGTCACGATAAAGGCAACAGCTACAACAAAACCAAGCAGTGGTACAGAAAAACACTCATCTCCGAACCTCATGCTGATTTAAGTAAGAGGATTCTGTTCACTAAATAATCATTTTAAAGGGCCTGGGTCACCAAAAGCTGAATTGTCTCATTTTTTATATCAAAGAGTTTGATGTACTATGTAAACACTGTTAAGTCATGCAAACCATCATATTTCCAGACCTCTACCTATACAGCCTACAATGGTTTAGCTCCACTCCTTCATACTGAAGCTATAAAGAGTGATTCAGCCTGCACTGCTTTTTGAATGAGCAAACAACATCAGTCTATTCAATTCTAACTGATAAGGAGGGGTTGGTCATGTCAAGTGACTTTGGGTGGGTTGGGGGGGTGGGGGTGGGGATACATAAATAATATAGGATACAGGCCCTTTAATAACTTCTATTTTTCCACTAAGAAGTCACATTTGACTGTTTATCTGAGTGTGATGTGGGAAATAAACAGGGTTGGAGTAGTTAATCAAAAAAGTAATCTCAAATTACAAATTACTAATTACTTCTCTCAAACTGCAATGGCATTACTTTACTTCCTAGAAAAAGTAATCTCATTACTCATTACTTTACTTCTACGTTACTCTCTAAAACCCATACACATTTGCACCAATTAGCAATACAGCAGTACCCAGTAGTCCTTTTTAGTAATTTAATTAGAAAGAAATAACCAATCCATGTAAATATTATGTAAAAGACTCGCGATCCCAGCCTTTGGACAAGACACAGCCAGTTACGTTTTATTAAAATTATGAACAGCTATTTAATAATAGCTAGAATCTAGCCAGTAGAGATGGTCCAAAAACAGCTGATTATACTCTACATGAATATATAAATCCTTTGACAGAGTGCTTGACAAATTTATGGTGTTTCCTGAACTCTCACTACGCTGATCACATTCACAATCAGAGTCACTGAGTCAGGGTAGCACATGCATATTATGTACCAGACATCAATAATCTATTTAGAGGACATGTATGTTTTAAATGAACTACGAGTTATTAAAACATTTCTCTTAGAGACATGAGTAACACAAGTAACAAAATTCTTATTAACTTCAACTGTAATGTGATCAGAAAAATTAAAAATGGTATGTGGTACAGTACTCTGTTATAGGAAAAAGTAATCACTTTACTGTAATGAGTTACTTTGCACTATGTTACAAAGTGTTGAATATACTTTGTAATTAATGTGGCAATTAATTTAGTAGCATCTTCAACTTGTTTTGCCATTCATGCTACCTAACTGACGTGGCCAATACAGCAGTAGTTATGTGTAGAATGCTACCAGTGATCAGCATAGTGTAAAATGCAGGATTTGAAAAAAACAATTGCCTCAATTCATTCAACTGGCTCCAACTTCACACAAACAACCCCAGGCAATCAGTCTCCTAAAAACACTTGAGCGAGTGGTAGCCTACATCACGCTTTCCATACAGTGGAGTTAATCCAATAATTAACTATCTAGACCATTTATCTTTTTTTCCGTAATAAACCTCCTGTTTTCTTTAACTTGACACTGCTGTCTGTGTATAACATGGCTCTACCCTACAGCACGCTACATGATATAACAATGCTTTTGAAGAACCTGACAGACAATTGCTTTTTCAGAGCTTTGTATCCAGGCAACGATTGCAGCAGTGAGGTGAATCAGGCCCAATGGGCTCTTTTACCAGCAAATGCACCTTAGATTGCGTTTCCTTATTGGGCTGACCTAATTCTTTTCACTCAGTACACCAAAACAAGATTATTTTTCCTGATTAGGTTATACTATACTCTGCAATATGTTCCATGGATGCGGTATATTAGAATGATTATTCAGATAGTTTGACTGACGTATTATTAACACACAAGAACCACCTGTGCTCCTTCAATATGACTATAGACGAAAACACATGTATGGACTACAAAATATCTATGAAGATTGTATGACCATAGTAACATGGGATATTGTTGTTTTCATGATGATTTAGATGATTTAAGCCTATGAAATGCCCATAGAATCTGACCCTGATCATTGTACTTGAACAAAATGATGTCAAAAGGCCTAAACAGATGTCTCTGCAAATAGCAAGAACATTTTTGGCACTGCAACAACAGAGGTTTTCATACAACAGTGCCACAAGACCAGACCCTCCATATGTAGCAGAATTGATATTTACTGTGCACTCTGAGCTAATTGTGAAAGAGACATGGTCCTATTTTAGCATTTCATCACCAGGGTTTTGATTAGTATGAAATGCAAATTGTAATCTTTAATTATGTCGTATAACTTTTAAAGAGAGAACAATTATTCAGGGTTTGGCTGAGGTAGACAAGGTTACAATCTTGGTAGGCCATCCCAAGTACATTTGCTTCAGGTCAGAATTTTCTTCAAGGAAGACTGCTTATGTTCCTGCTCACTATACTACTGAAAGGGTTTACCAGTGTTTACATCAGCAGGTCAAATGTTGCTCCCTTTCTAATCAGAATACAACTAGCAAGCCAACTAGTAAACTCATTTCTATAATTTTTCAACATTCCTGGCTGCACACATTATTAGGAATACAGTTGTGAGAAAAAGTCTGTGAAATTCTTTGGATTTCTGCATGAATGACTCCTATATTTTTATTATGTTATGTCATTTTTTAATAATTTACACTGGAAAATCTTTATGCAACTGAACGTCACTCTGGCTGTCTGTGATCAAAAACTATTCTGTTTATTGGTCCCTCAGGTTGTCCAGGTCCTGAGACAGTAAAGCAGCACCACACCATTGAACTCCCTCCACCATGCTTTGTATAGATGGCAGTTAGGTTTTTGTAATTGTATTCAGTACTTTTATTTCCTCCAAACATCAATCTGCGTACACTTGCCAACAGTTTCAGCTTTTGTCTCACCCGACCACTGAATATTGTTCCTGTTGTGATGTGCAACATTTAGGTAATCTTTAGCAAATCTTTAGCAAACTTGAAACAACCAGCAGTGTTTGTTTTTTAGAGTGATTTCCTCTGTGGTAACCTCTCATGAACCACTGTTATCCAGTATCTTATGACTCATGAACAGATGTTATGTTTGAAGATTCCAGGGTAAATCTTTTCTCAGATGTTTTGTAGATCAGGGAGAATAGCCACAGAGCTGAAATTCTTCCATTTTTAAATTATCTGCCTTACTGTGGACTAATGGAGGCTGGCATCTTTAGAAATCCTTTTGTAACCCTCTCCTGTCTTGATTTTCAGCAACTCTTCTTGATGTCCTCTGAAATCTCTTTTGATTTGAAATCCCTTTTGATTTCATGCAGAAATTCACAAAGGGTTCCCTAGGGTTCCAAAACTTTTTCCTCACATCTGTATTCATCTTAGCAGATAAATTTTCCTATTGTTCCAGGAACTACTTCAAAGAAAATAAAATTATCATACAATCTAAGCCACATTTACAGCTATTGTTTTTACAGATGGTCAAATGATCAAAACATCTACTACTGAAAAATATGAACTTATGTAATCAGGATACTATTGTCCTTTTGTGAATGTGTGGTTGCTTTCTCTTAGCTTTTATGTTACTTTACTTTAAAACATTTGGTGTTTGTTATTTTCTTTTTTGCCATTTAGTTTTTCAGATCATTCAGTTTTTCAGATACTGGTTAGCATAAACGTCTAAGTGGTGCATTTAATTGTGCTTTTGATGGTGGGTTGCTTTACTTGTTTATAAACTTTTCAACTTAAACAAGAAGCTGTGTTAATGCTATTAAAACTACTGGTGAACTGAACTACAGAATGCATAATATGAAGACTACTGAAGTGGCAAAAAAGGTTCAGTATAAAAAGATAATGTTCCTTTCAACAAAAAGTGGGCATATCTTTGTAGTCACTGTGGGAAAATATCTTATTCAGTATACTATGAACTTTTTCTAAAATATTTGAACATTAATGAACATTAGGCATAACAACTCTAATAAGGCTCCAAATAGGGCCTCTAACAAGGCTCCAAATGAGGCCTCACATTAGAGGAATGGCATGCTTCATTAGAGGAATGTTATAAAGGGAAAGGTGATTTTCTGCTGGATGATTTGACTGCAGTGGGCAAAAACTTAAACTGTCAAATCACTTACAGTCCACTTCCAAAATGGCTCTAACAGTGCGAGTGAGCTCTTTGGCTTCCAAGGCAAGCGTTGAGGCTGTCCTGGACATTTTCTTCCCACCTCGTGAAGCCAGAGCTTGAGACAGAGCAGCCAGCTTTGGCTCACTCTGGGAACTGAAAGAGAAGAAATATATATAATATAGCACCTGTGACCAAAGACCATGTAGGGACTTGGTCAGATAAATATGGCAAAAAGAAGTTCACTTTTGCAATAGATTGCTCTGAATTCAGGTATGCTATTTGGTACAGAGAATGCCTTAATCTTAAATAATATCAGAAACAAAAGGACTGCCATAAAAAGATGAAGTTACATTGTCTTGCCTTATGATGCTCACAAATAAGTCTCGAAAGCTTCGCAGTTCAACAGCCTATGAGCTAGTCATGTTCTGAGTGCATTATTCACCCTTCGACTTTCCCACATGACTTATTCACCTATTTGACAGTTTGTACAGTTCCTGCCATAGCAGTCCAATAATGATTGAATGTATTACCTGCCTTGATAGCCTATAATACACATTTTATAGCATCCTGATGTGATTCTTTGTCTTTAGGTCAGAAATGTTCAGCAAATTAGCAGTGAGAGACACTACAGACAACCATGTCTTTGGCTGCCATTACAGAGTGAAATAAAACATGGAATTAAAGCTAATAGAATAAGCTCTAAGCTGCTATAATTCACATCTTGTAAACATGTTAGAAGAGCATTTATACTTGGACCATCTTTCTTGCTTCACATTAGCCTACATCAAATCTGTATTTTTTTTTTATTGTCAGTTTGGAAAAGTGTCACTTCTTGTGACATTGCAGCATTTTAACAATACAGATTTTATAATGTTTTGACTTGTTACAAAAGCTGTCCTGATGTACTTTCCCTCTGACCTGAAATGAACAAAGCATGCTGAACAGGGGGCATGAGAGCAGCAAGTCAGTGCCCAGCATGACACTTAACACAGAAAGGGTTTTGGGGAAGGGGATTCATGTGCTCAGACCCAGTGACATGGATAAAGTGTTATGAAAAAAAAAAACAATTGCACAATCACCAGACTTTCAGGTCATTGAGAGAAACTGTGTGAAACAGTTCTCACCAGAAGTAATTAGGTACCCTATATGCATTCAAAACATATGTAACTTTATGATAAGCCCTTGATATCACAGTATTTTTCTGTATTTTATTTGTAACATGTATTATATTAAAATTTATCATTTTGTTGTTTGCAATTGTTACAGCACATTTTACATCATCATTGTAATGTTGGACTACCACATTTGCAAAGTGTGACTACTTATGACAGTGTGAGAACATCAACCCCGGAGCTCTGCCCCTTTTTTCCCATGAAGAATGGAAGCTAGCATATTTGTTTTTTCTAAAACAACAGTTTAGTGATTTGCTTTCGCAAATATAAAAGTTTTAACCTGTAGTATCTCCCATTCACTCATTAAATATCAGAATAGATAAACTCAGCCACAACTAATAAGTATTCTGGAGCAGAAACAGTAACATGTGCTATTCTCTGAACTAAAACACACACTAATAAACACAGACACAGTGGCCATTAGAGCCAGCAGAGGCGATCATTAGAGAGAGCAAGGTCTCTCCATTCTGTTCAGCCAACAGAGTGTGAAGAGCAAGACAGCAGGTGTCCGTGCTGATTGGACCTTAACAAAACCACCTCCAGGCTTAGCTGATGCACTGACTTCTGATCATTATCCACACCTGCTTCCTGCCCTGAATAAACATTCTACCACAGAACTTTTGCATTACTGAACGTCCAAAGAAAACAAAAAGACAGTTTATATCAATTTCTGCAGTCAAAATATGTTCTAACAGAAACATGGCCAAACTGCTGTCATTCACTCTACACTATCCAACCCTATTCCCACTGGCTTTTTGGAAAATTAGCTATACTCTACAGATCCTTAGGCTGCATCTGAGCAGACGGTAACTGAATTTCACAGCTAGTACATCTCTGCTTGCAGGGTTTATTAGCTGTAGACATAAGACATAACATAAGAGTGGAAACCCTCTCTTACCTATGAGTCCGTAAAGATCCTTGGTGCTCAATTAGGAAGTCTTGGATGACCTAGAAGTGTTAAAAAAATATAAATAAATTACTAGATTAATATATTAATTGATTAATAAGGTTCCCAAATTATTAAAGGTACATTTTGTGTTGTGGGGAATGGTTAAATTACATGTTTGGTTGATGTACTAACTCAACATGAATGTTTTAAGAACTTTCTTTGAATATTAAAAGTACCCTCCCAAACAGTATGAGATTAATTCTTATATCCTATTAAGAACTCTTTTCACTTTAACTGCCAGACTGAATGCTGAATTATGAATAGCCAGTTTAGCTCTGATTCAGTTCTGACTCAGAATAAGTTAAGTAACTGAACAAAGGGCGATGGAGGCTTTCTAGAACATGATCTACATGAGTGATGCTGAGGCAGTGGTAAAGTGCTTCCCACTGACAACCACAATGTAGCTGGCTCTAATGGTCTGTCAAAAAAAAATTTAGGTGCTTGTATCTGTCTTTTCACATTATTCAGAAAAAATTCTCAAGTAGTGGTGAAAAGATAACACTTAGACAATATAGACCCCCTACCTTTGGTCATTAAGCAAATCCTTTACAAATTGCAAGGTTGATACTTTGTAAGAGAACGTTTTATACTAAATAGAGTTCTTTTACAGGGACAAGCTGTAGAACCATATGATCTGATAGCTCACTGTTTTTTACCCCAGAACACAGAGTCAGCAATGCAGGCCCTTTTGAAGAAGTGTTTCTGATTGCATGTCTCATTGAAATACATTACCTCAACAAAGCGCAGAAGTTTGCCAGTAGAAACCTCAAAGCCTTTCTTTGCAGCTTCGCTCTTTCGTAACTGACACTCAAGCAAAGCAATCCTCTTCTTCAATTCTTGCTCCTCCTGCATGAATATTGCAGTTAACACAAGGTCTCACTTGTTAACATCATCTAATGATCTATTACGCCTAGGTAAAATGAAAGCTAAGCATTTTAGTTGGCCCATTAATAAATATACTGAACCAAATCAAAATCAAACTACTCATGCTGAGTATGTAAGTTATGAATTGTGTTACTATTTCACTATTTATTTTGACTTCAATGCAATCTGGACATGGCAATTTATTTGATGTGGTGGCATGACCTGAGCTTGGGCTCTTCAGCAACAAGAAATCCTCCTTTCAATGATTTAACAAAAAAATATTTGACATGCCGAATGACAGTTTCACAATTACAGTAAAGGAAATAAGGTTCTTCTGTGACCTGTGAGGTTGCTAGCCAGAATTTTCAAAAATAACTTCATCAGCCCACGTCACCCTGCGAGATCACGTTAAAGCCTTCGCTGCACATCAGCCCAGTTACTGAATAATACAAAGCAAACAGTGACCTACTTTTAGCAGTACAGGAGGGAGCGAAGACCTGAGCTGGATTTGAGCAGGGAAGGGGAGTGGGACTGAGAAGACTGGACTAACGCCTTTGCTTTAGTGGATGGGAGGCTACCTTTCCTAGTGAATACCTTGGGCTGGCCAAGCTTTTCATTTCTCTGAGACTTCATCTCTGCTATCTCTTCCTCCAAAAGGTGGATGACCTCTTCGTAGTCCATCTCCATTCCCCGCGCCTGCTTCTGAGCAGCCTCAGCCAGGTGGATCTGCGCCTGCAGAGCTCTGCTCTCATCCACCGCGGCTTTTGCTTCCTGCAGCAGCATAGTCAGAGTTAGAGAAGCACTGATGAGAACGCACATACAGTAGAGTTGTACAGTGCTGAGGGGCTCTCCCCCCAGTACAGCGAAGTCAGTGCACTGCCAGAGAAATGCCTGACAAGCTCTCTCTCTCTCTCGCTCTCATTCTTCACATGCTCACAGCATGACCAAGCACTGCTCTAGATCAGCTTAAAGTCATGCAGTCACCTTTGCTACTGTGTGTATGGGCTTTGAATTTTTGGGCCTGTGCAAACATGTCTCCTTAAAGTCCATTTAACCTATAGAGTGGGTGTAGACAGGCATGGGAAGAAACCACACCTGAAAAACAAGCTGTTACATAATGTGGTGAGTGAAATATACCTGGGCCTTGATGAAAACCAGGGCTGCATTGAATACTTTTCACCACAGCATCAGTCAACAGAAACCAAACAAAGGGAAGGCAACCAGGTCAGGGTAATTACAAAGCAGTGAAGTATCACAGCACTGAATAATGGAAGGTGACACCATATCCTTGAATCATTTTACTTCCCAAAGCAAGATTTTGGGAAAGACACACGCCTGTGATTCTGCGAACCTGTGCCCAGCTGATCCACACCCATCACACTTTGAGGGAACATGTAGTTGAATGTGTACTGTTTTTGGGGACGTCTTTGTTATAATGTAGTAAGAGAATAAAATGCAGATATTTTAGCGCAGTAGCCCTGCGTCACCTGAACATTCTGCATTTCTGGAGTACAATAAATACGTCACCAAATATAGGTTTGAAGTATTGGTCAAATCTAAACACCTGTCCAATGGCATTTTTAAACAAATATCTGCCGATTCCAATATGATTCTGATATCATTGTGAATCCCTACTTTCTAGTCAGGAGTTGAGAGGTTAGTCCTCTGAATGTGCTGACACACTTACCAAGGTCATCAAAAGCTATTCATAAAATAATATGAAACTTTTGTATGACTGATACAGAGACAAGGTTGTGGTCCTACTGCAGTTTTCTGAATCAGTTGGAGGCTGTGCCAACAGGATGAACTGTACCCATACTGTTGCTAGTATGATAGCTATCACCCATCGAACTTGAACTAACAACCATTCAGACAATGACATGTACCTCTATTTGCTGGGCTACCTTCACTTATTAGATATTGTTTACTTCCGAGACTATAATTCCCAATTTTGCAAGTCTATCCAGGAATAAAGCTCATTATTCATTTCTTTTTAAGTGGACATGAAAATGGATGGTCTAACAATGCCCCTTTGTAACAGCTTATTATTTAAATCACAAGTTTCAGACCATTTCAGACAATCATCTTAGCAAGTGTATGAAACACAGTATGTTCATTTCATTATGAGGTTATGGCTTTTATTATGGATAATGTAATAAGGAAGAATTTTTACATAAATGTCTTACTGAAATGGACTATAATGTAATCTTCTAGAATTAAGAAATGAATCTTTTAGACCTATTTTAGGCCCTGAGCCAAATCTTACCTCAGAGTTGCCTATGGTAAAACACAAATGTAACCTGAAAAACTGCTTAGTATTATCAAACATCTAGGCTACACAAGGACTATAATCAGACTATTTACGAAAGTCTGATTATATTATGGTAAGCAGCTAGTATGCTAAGGCAAATATAACTGATATTCAGTGTTATACTGTGAAAGAAGAAGATGAAAGATGAATTAATATTTAATTGTCTTTTACTCCAGCACTCTTTTTTCTATAGCTGTAAATGATAATTTAGCAATGTAGCAGCCTACTGCATCTCAAATACTCTTCACACAAGCTGCACATCACAGTAAAAGACTCAAATGGAGACACCTCATCCCTAATCCACATGGCCAGTCACATCTCACGCGGTTCATGGCTCCTCCTCACACCTTTCAGTGCGCCGTGCCTGTGGTGCGATGCGTGGACGGCCCCATCGCCTGCGCACTCATCTCCAAAGGGAAGGCTTTAAAGCCTGCTGTTCCTCTGCTGTGCAGCCAGTCTGCCTACCTGTTACTCTAATGGCATATATAGCACAGCGAGAGTGGGCGGGGGGTGAAGAGAGCAGAACGGATTCAGAGAGGCAGATCCAGGCTTGAAAGAAGCATGAGCTTAAAAAAAGCCTCGGTTCCACAAGGCTGGGCTTTCAGCGCTCCCGCTTGGCTGCTGTTGCTCTGAACTTGGTAAGTAATGGAGCTCAGTGTGGTGCTGACACCACGAATCAAAGCTACTGTGTGCAGCACAGAGAGAGAGCAGAGAGAGGTGGCGTAGACCCTATCACCAGACGAGATGTCAAATGCATCAAAGAGTTCAAATTCAGACCTTTCTCAAAAACGGCTGAATTTAAAAATCTGCAAAGCTCTTAGCAGATCAAATGCATTTTTGATAAACATGAAAAAAACATGTTTTTCCAGCTGAGGTCAACCACAAGCTGAACCAAAACATTAGCACAAGGATAAGAGAGATGATAGGCAAATAAGCAAAGGCTAAATCTCTGGTATCCTCTTAAGGATACCAAACAGCACTCAAAAAGTGCCACAGAACAGACTGGACAACGCACTACTACAGCACATAGGCCACCTTTCTGTAACATTCAAAGTAAATATACTAGAAAACTGCGAAATGGCTTTACTAGAAACTGGGATCAACCAAATCCATAACCAATACAAGAGTGGATTAAAGGCATAATAAAACTCAGAAATTATACATTTAACACATTCTGGCAGGGGCGATCTTTGCATAGGCAAAAGTAGGCTGCTGCCTACCAGCCCCATGAGCCAAGAGCCCCATGAAAATGCAAATGAGACATATTGTGTGTGTTGATGGTAAATAACCTGTTCTGAAATATATATACATTTTTAAAATAGCTGTAATTTCTGATTGTAGCAATTCTTTTTTAGTAACTTTGATGCAGCCCCACACTCCAGTCATGGTTACAATGGACTATTCCATGTTACATGATGACACAACAGACCACACATAATGCTAGCATAATGTTGGTATAGATAGCTCTAGTGTTGGGTAATTATTTAAAAAGTAATCTATTACATATGACTAATTACTTCCCTCAAGCTGTAATGGGAGTGTATTACTTATTATTTCCTGGAAAAAGTATTCTTTTTACTCATTACTTTCCTGCTACATTACTCTGTATTAAACTATTTCACTACCAGTTTATCTGGTAATTTTATCAGATAATTTTGCTTGTTTCAAGCATACTTCTTAAAACAGACAAAATTATCTGTCAATACAGAGAGATAATTTTACCTAATAAAATGACTTATGTCCAAAATGTCTAGAAATAAGTTAAATGATCTTAAAAAATAAATTATATGTTATAAAGATAAATTATCTTACAATGTTCCTACAATAATCTCAAAATGAGAAATACTAGATAAAGCCGCTGGACTTCAGACGAATTCACCTGCCAAGATACAGGTGCGTCACTTAGGAGCCCAGAGCCTCAGCTAATTTAAAAATGTGCAACCTGGGTGCCCCATATCTGTTTTTTGCCTAGAGCCCCAGAATCACTAAATCCACCACGGCATACTGGGCAAAATGGATTAAATATGTCACTCCTATTCACCCTAATGTTCTACATTCAGAAGAAAATGCATGTCAGGATTAGAATCTGTATGCTATATATTTTTAACCCTGATAATTATAAAAATGGAAACAGACCAATTTTGGTGACATCGAGATAAGTACACTTATGCTTATGCTTAACACTTAAATGAAAAAACAGCCAATGGACATTCTGTGCATGAGCACAGCTATAATTTTCCATAAACTCAAGTTCAGAATGGTATTCAATTACAATCTACTCTACCCATATAGATTCAATGAGTACTACCTTAGTGAACATCCTTCAAAGAATTTTCAGGAATCAGCCAAATAGCTCTTTACAAACTCACTATTTTCTAGCTGAAGAGCACAATGTGAAATAAAAATTACAATATGCAACTAGACTAGTAACATCAGCTGAGGCAAATGTACAGATAATCTGAAACACACATTTTTTAATGATTGCTTTTCATCATACAAATATCATGCCATCTGTTATCAATGTTTGTGGTCTCGTTCAAGGTTTAATTTAATGCCATATTAATGAGTGGAGCTCAGATTCTGAACATCTTCTTTAGAAACAATAGTTATTCGTCTGATATTTTCAATATGCAGTTGCCTTTAGGCCTAGTGCAAATGGAAATTAAAATATTTCAATATATTAACACATATTCCAGACTTATGTTTAACAGTTTTCTTGACAAAGTGGAGTCCTATCAAGAAGAAGATACTAAAAACTTCTGTGTAAGTAAGCCTATTAATCACATTCAACATTGATGGTCAGTAATTTACCTTGCAAGTAGTTAATTTTGTGTAAATGTCCTTTAACATTCATTAGGCTGTAATGATATTTAATGACACTTGAGATGCTCTTAAACGTGCTTTATGTAACAGGCACTTCTGAGGGTCTGAGATGGAACTCATAGAGCTACTGTGAGTTGAGCCCATTTTTTATGACTCACAGAACTATTTCCACTCACAAGTTACCATCTCTACTGTGTCCTAAATACTTCAACTCCCACATGCAGTGGGTGGATCACATCTCCGGAACCCAAAGACACTTTATGTTATTATATATATATATATATATATATATATATATATATATATATATATATATATATACTACTGAAAATTGGATACCCTATACAGTACAGTATAAGGTGTGAGTAGGCAGTAAAAGAAAAACACAAACAAAACAAAACGAATATAAGACATCTATGGCATGCTTGGTGCTCTGTACTGGCCAGTTAAAATGAAGCAGAACAGCACCTGTAGAGCGCAAAGGTGGTCATACACAAGAATATGAATATGTCTAGAGCTCCCCCTAAGGGCACTACTAAAACTGTACAGCACAAATGCACTTATGAAATAATCCAAAGCTCTATGAACTTACTCACCTGTTTGACTTTAGTCAGCTCTTGCTGCATTTGATGACAAAGGCTTTCAGACTCAGCCAGCTTATCCTGTTGGACAAGAGATTTTCATGAGAGCATGATGTGGTGAACATTTTTCCTATTCGATGAAGTCAGAATAATGAGTCCTGAGTCAATAATAAATCCCATAAACACAGTAAAAACAGGCTGCACAAACTGTCTGGGTCCTGACATGAACTGATATGATACGTTTTACCTGCAGTCTCTTTATCTCCCTTAAGGCTTCAATGTGATCTTTTCTTAATCTCTCCATCTCATCAAGGTCTTCAGAATCAGATGTTGATGCCTGCAAGATCACAAACAATCACAAAATTACAAGAGGAACATACTTTCACCATGGCTACATGATTATATCTCATTGCACACATTTCTGTAATGCTGGAAGTTTATTTTTGTACACGTTTATATTAGGGCTGCACGACATGTGCAATAGTTTATTGAGATGCTGATGTGAGAGGTGATTAACTAAGACTAAAATATATAATTAAAGTGGTTCACTTTTTAAATGTGCAGCGATCCAGAAAAGGAAGAGTTTGTTGTTGCTATGCAATTAAAGCAAAATAATAAAATTTTTTTCACGTTTATTCAACAGAATATTCAGTAATCACAATTCTGCATATGTGATATGCATTTGTTAAGATACTGTGTGAAGTAAAAATAAAAATGATTAAAATTACAGCACAACTGCAAACATGTTTTTGTGCATTGTAAGGCTGTTAGAAATACTGTCAATAAAACAAAATAAATACAATCATATGCAAAAGTTTTTTGAAGTGAAAATAAGTACACTTTGTCTACAGAACACACCTCTGCATGTTTTTTGTTTTTTGGTATGGTTCAGAAAATACAAATTGTATTTCAAAATTACATAGGAAAGTAGCAAAAAGTTTGTGTCCTGTGATCTGTGATCTTACAAAGCAGCTGAGCTACAAACAATAGAAAACAGGATGCACCCAGATGTCTAATTTTATACATTTTAGGCAGTTGTTTACATGGATGTCTACTGAGAGATCCTCACAAGAGAATAAGGCGACGCAGTTCTAAAATTGCTATACTGATATTGATATATTTTTTGATACTGTATTGAAATTGCTACACCCTTTATTTTAACAGGCTAGTATTCAACGACATGGTACTTGTTTGCATGTGTGTCCTTTGTAAGTAGATAGAAAGCATGGTGGATAACACCAATGTAACACACAGAAGATCAAGGAAGAACTCCACTGCCCCTAAGAAAGACTCCTAAGTCTACATTCCCTGTTACATAACTGGCTCCATGCATATGTAATATAACTTGATATGTTCTGCTATTGCAGCCCTTTCCGATGTGTTCATCGCAGAAACCCATATTATGATGACAATAAAAATATGATCTATCTTGCAGCCCTAATTTATGTAAATATTTGTAATACATAATTAACCCTTGTGTGGTGTTGGTGGTTTTGTTACTCAGTGGGTCTGGTGGCCCCACTGCATTATTGTTTTTTTAAATAATAATCATAACAATTTATGTAAAAATACCAGATGTTTAAAATATCACAAGTGGCCAGCGTAGGGTTCTCCTTTTGCAGCTTTAGCCAGTCAGCAGCCTTTCCATGTTGTGCACCCTAACACACACATACACACACACACACACATACACATATATATACAAACATTTACACACACAGACACGCTCATGCTAACAGCAGGCCATGTAAGAGGAGAACAGAGTGAAGGGACACAGCACCTCCATACTTTTATTCCCCGCAGATTCACCCCAACACCACATGTGTAATATAAATGTGTAGGGGGTGTACAGTGTGAAGTCATTGAAAATGTTTGATTTTATATGTTCTTCACAGAAAATGATCAAAGGCCAAGGAATCTGAGGTTGAAATAATAACAAATTACTTAATTCTTTCTTTAGGTCAACATTGAAAATGGGTCCCACAGACCCGAACACCATACGAGGGTTAAAAATATGTATAGTTACATAAATGCACGAATATAAACAATATTGAATGATAAAATTAAATAAATGAAAATTCTTACCAGAGGGTTTGATGAAGAGTCAGTGAGATCATCAGACGTGAATCTGGCTACTTCCTGGCCCAGCTTTGACTCATCTGTCAACTTGAAGAGCTCTTTTGTCAAGGTCTCAAAATCTGGATGTAAAAAAATAAATAATTGCACACATGACATATACACTGTACTGTACTTGGCATTTACCTTAGAATAATACTAAGGACAATGAGCAAATGTAATCACAAAAAAGGCAGTGTTGTAGTTTCCATTATCATGGTAAGGCTCAGTGTTTGAGGAAGGGGAGCTTTTAGCTGCGGTCAATCAGATAGGTCACTGTCACTGTTCAGGTCAATGTCATTTTCCTTTATTGTAATTGACAAACATGGTACAGTCAAAATTATGGAGTGTGCAGCATTTATTACAAGTGATATACAAGTGAAGTTATACACATGCAACAGCCATACCAATTCTGGATCGTACTACAGTGCAGGCCATAATGTTACAAATTTTTAATAGTACTTTGTGCTGTCCCCTTTCCCCAGTCCACAAGTCTTCGACACCAAAATCAACTGCAAGGGCCTGTATGTGGGCCCACATTTCAATATCTCATTCTCATAAGTACATCATTTACATATTAGACTCATAGCAGTTACTGAATGGTAAGGCTGTAGTTTACAAGAGAAAATAAGCAGGTGGCATTATTAGGGCTCTATTAGCAAAAAAATCAATACTTTTACAGTAATTTACACAATGGCTGATGCCAGACTCATCACTTGCTAAATTCTCAAAGTAAGTCATAATAATGAAGACAAGGCTTGCTCACCTCCATAGGCCACTGTCCCACCAGGGTCCACACGGAGCCTCTCTCTCAATATCTGGAGCTGAGACTCAGTTGGTTTTAGCCCCAACACCTCTAAAGCCTGTGAACCACACCACTGTCCACTTAGAAAATTTCAGTCCACAAAGGTAGTGCCCTCTCACCCACACACTGTGTTCTGTCCCTCTCTCACTCACTCACTCACTCACTCACTCACTCGCTCTTTCACTTGCAAATGACACACACACACACAGTTTTCAACATGCACCATTTGTTCTGCAATAGCTTTTACAAGTGCAAAGCAATAGCCATTTTTACGGCATTATGTGAAATAGCTACTGTTCAATGAAACACTTCTGAATGAATCACAGTAAATCACACCGTTTCCCATAGCAACAGAGTATCAGAAAATGTCACAGCCTGGCGTGACTGCACAGGCTGAGGCAACAGCACAATCGCTATTGATTTTCACATTATAGTGCGGGAGAAGCCAACAGTGTCATTAACTCCTCGCCACATGATAACACAACACTAACGGCTCAATGGAACGAAGGGGACAATGGGAATGGATTGTTAAAGCCTGCCGGGTGGGCAAATCAGGGTTGACACTGCAGACAGCTTATAGCAGGCTGATAGGCATGGGGATAAGCAAAGAGGGCAGGAGGCAGGGGGCAGGGACAAACCTGTTCCAGCCTCTCCAGTTTGACTCGACAGCTAGAGCTGAGTGACGGTGGCCTCGACTGGGCAGCTGTGGGAGTGGTGCTGGGCTTACAGGCAGCAGCGGCATCTGGAGACAAAGACAGGAGAAAAAAAATATAAAAAATATACATATCAGGGAAATGGCTGATATCAGGATTCACTTAGTATAGGTTGTCTAAAGGCATGCTCAAATTAAACTGACTCTTCAAACGTTAAAAGAACGTTTAAGGTACTATAAGCACTTAAAAATGTTCTCATACATTTCTATTGACCTAAACAATTTTGAAAATCGAATGGTTTTTGTTACCTCTATCAGATCTCAACTCAGGGGGAAAAAATAATACAATTTCTATCACACAAGAATGCACACAAACTGTAATATGACATATTAATGTTTACTTTGTTCACACAGACTGACTGAAAATCACACATGGATATATTCTTTGACATATGCACGATATGCTGTAGTCACTGGACCTTTTCTTAGTTTTCCTGGCTGGCTCCACTAAGTGCTCTCTTTTCCTTGCATGGTCTTTCAGACCACTGTCAGGTGCAAATTTTGTGTTTGGATGAATATTCTGAATTTATTTGTTATATACAAAATGTCTTTTCTTTGTCTTTAGGCATTAGAATTTAATACCTCTAATAAGAGAATCGAAGACATTTTCAGACATGACATGAATTTTGATGATTAAAAAAAAAGAAATTCTTTGTGATTTGTACAGTGAAAATCAGTTGAAATGCAAATCAAAACAGTACATTTGTAAGCTTTGGCACTATTATGAAATAAACTGACACATGACTCACTGGTTACTGGAGTGAGGAGCAGGGAGAGGGGGTGATAAAAAGCTATTCTGTTTATTGTTTGAAGAAAAAAAATGTGATGATTACTTCTTAAAATGAAGCACCAGGATTAGAAGTATCAAAACTTCATTGTTGATCTACCTGCCTCTACTACCAAGCATACAATGAATATGAAATATACTGGAAGTCGGTTCCATAAAAATGTTGGATATTTTTACCATTCAGGTAACTAGCCTACTAAAAATGGAGAATACTTATTTTCTCTCATAAAGTAGCAAAATTATTTTAAACAAGCAGGGGTGGGAGACGTGGCCTAATTATCATATCAAGAGATACACATTCGAGAGAGAATTAACAAAAGAGCCACATTTACGGCAAATCATAAAAGGTCTACTCGTTTAGGAAATCTGATGATTTATCTTCTGACAACACTCATTCCTATAATGCAGCCAACACAAAATTATACATGCAAACCTCTAATGGTAACTCATAGCCTTCTATATCAGGCACATAATCTTCAGTTTCACTTTGTTTTGCTGCCACTACAGAAGAAAAAGTAGTGGGTTTAGAGGAGCAAGAAGATTGGATGGTGGGGCATCGCCACATTAAACGACCTCCGTACATTCGCAAGAATGTACACTTTTAATGTAGCTATCATCTAAAGAAAGAAGTACAATGCTATAATGAAAGAAAAGATCATAACCAGTTAGACCAAATGCTAAACAACCAAATAAATGGAGACACTGAGCCTCTAATCTGGATTCTTAGATTAGAGGCTTTGTGTTTATTCTCAAAAACATAACATAAGAGTTCTGTTGTGGTATTTCTTAAATCTGTACAGTGTAACTGACTGAAGAGCAATGCCAAACACGTTCTGAACAAATTCTAAAATTCTGATGTCCAGTTTTCCAGACCACATAAAGTCTAGCTCTGATTACACATTGTTAAAAGGTATTTTCCATTTACAATCCTTGTTTTGTGTAGGACTTGACATACCCTGTCCACAAGTTTTAAAACCCTCTCTGTAAGGTCTTTACTTGATAGCAAACAAAAGCTATATGTCATATGGTGCCCGATGACACAGCTAAGACTTGACCTCAACAGACATCATCTTTTTTCTGCCTTATCCAAGAGGTTTTTGTGTGATTTTCATCTGCTCATATTGAAAATGCAGTATCCTGCTGGCAGGATTATCTTCAACAATAAACGCTCCGACATCTCATCAGCACATTTTGAATGTTTGCTGTAGTGGGCAGGTAATCCAGGTTATGATGGAATGATGGTCCTCATCCCATAATATCATACTGAATTATTTCCTAATGCTATGCTATTCCAAAACATCAGAAAACAAAGTAAAGCAAGTAGTAACTGAGTAAAAAGAAGGTGCCAGGGCACATACATACATACATATATATATATATATATATATATATGTACTCTGGTCAGGTGACGCAATACTGCCGCAAACTACAACATCTAAACAGTTCTGTACAGTGCACAGTGTGTCTAACAAAGAACTACTTTGGATTCAGCCACGTGGTCACAATTCCGCATTGGACAGAAAGTGCAATAATTGGCACTTTATGTCCACTAAAAGCTAAAGCTACTATATATATATATATATATATATATATATATATATATATATATATATATATATATATATATATATAAAAATACACAGAAATGTTATAGAAATGTTTAGCAGCTACATAAAAGTAACTGCAGTACCAGAATTGTCCAATGTGGTGCAGGCACTCTCAGGGGTAGTGAGAGAAGGGAGCTCTGGCTTCACTGGTACTGTTCGTACCTACAACACGCATAGAAAACAGTAAAGGCAGACTTAAACTCTAAAACTGCAATTGGGGTGTTCTGATTCAGAAAAGGATACATGAGAAGAAATCTAAATCTTTACCATGGGCTACAACTACAGAAACAGACGACCAGTCCAATTTAAAGGGCCTATATTTAAATCCAAATTAAAGGGAAACACTGTTTATCCTGGCAGTAAATGTGTTTTTGCCTGTAAAAACACTACATATCATTAGAATGGACAAATAAACACTATTAACTAAGACTTGTTAACAAACTTAAAAGATTCCCTCATTTTAAATAAAGTTAATGATATTTTGGTTAGTAGAATACAGATTTGCTTCCTGACTTATCAGTGCACTTGTATTACGATACAAGATTGTATGATTTATGGACTACAGGTAGTGGATGGTAATTGTAAATACTGGGCTTCCTAGAGGTTTACAATGTATTGCTTATTTACATTTATTCTAATGTTAGTGTTTTTTGAACCAATATTTGCTTACTGCCAAGATAAATGGCTTTACATATAATTTTTCTCAGATGCTTAAGATTACTGCAAAGTACAGTATATCCACTTATGCAGCCTTCAGCAGTTTAGTGGCACCAGTAGTTTGGTGCGCTTCCACAGTGTGGTGCATTACAACAATTATATATTGGGTCCAAGGCACAATCCTCAGTTATGGTTCTCAATGATGAGGGGATGTATGTCCAGTCTGAAACATTTAAATCTAGTTTCATGTCTTACTTGAGTCAGTTTGACAGAAGGTAATGTCTCACAACCAGAATTGGGGGTAGGAGATATCTTGGGAACAATCCCCCCAGGCAAAGGTACTCCCCCCAGGCCAAGGGGTCTGAGCTGGGGGGCCGTGCTACATGGGGGCTGCAGAGAGATAGGGCTATGGGGGCCACTGCTGGAGTCAGAGGAAGACCGCCGTCTAATAAACGCTATCTCCACCGTGGGGTCAGTTCTGTGTGGACAGTCACAACATTTAACACATTTGTAAAGTAATGTTAACTGTAGTAGCACATTAGATCAGATAATTAATGTGAGATTGACAGCATGAGCACTTAAATCTTTATTTATATTAGATTAGACTCTACAGTGTTATTTTGTGCTGTTTAGAGCAAATATGAGGCGAGAAGGTATATCTGACCTGAGCTTTGTTCGAGTTAGTATGCTTTTGGCCTCCTCATGCGTTACTCCGATAAAAGACTCTTTATTGATAGATATGAGCTGATCTCCTACCTTTAGTCTTCCATCCTAAAAAAACAGACAATAAAAAAGCAAGAAGCATTGTTCAAATGTCATTGCTTAATTCTGAACAGGTTAATAGAAATGTGTACAAGTTGGGTTTATTTGCAAATTGCAAAATAAACCCAAAAAAATGTTTAGTCACATTCAAAGTTTAGCAGTTTCACACTTTCATATTATCTAGTATTAATACAGCACTCACTCTTTGGCAGTCTCCTCCAGGCACTATTTCCTGAATAAACACCATTGGCCCCTCTGCACGGTTTGCTCCACCCTTGATGACCAGACCCAAGCCTGTTCCCTTGGCAACACATATCAACTGAATCATGCAGTCACTGGGTGAGGAGAGGTCAAAATAAAGATTGACAACTGTGACAGATATAATCACTTGCAAGGTGATTAATACATACTTTTCTGAATGACCTGAACTAATCTTTCACAGGATTTTCCACTCAGGCTAAGCATCTGTCATTGCAGCATCACAGCTTTTCAAACAGTGACCTTAGAGGGCCATTCAACAATACCTGGACATGTTTTATTATGAATCATTTTAGTCTCACAATTAAAAAGAAAAACATGGGATAAGCAAAGCCATTTGCAATATACAATACAAGTGAATTTAAAGTTAATAATATAACGTAACAATTAAACAAAGCTAGTTTTACACATGAATTCCTGCATTTCTGCAAAGTTCTACTGTTCTACTGTTCTGCAAAGTTCGACTTACCTGCAAACCTGTGGAGCTATTGAGGCTGTGCTGCAGTCTTTAGGGCTTAAGACTTGAGGGCTTGTCGATCTTGAGGATGAGGATGATGAAGCAGTGTCAGTCAGCTTACCTGAAAATGAGACAGATGTGACTAACAAACCTTTGCTGTCATAACAAAAACAAAACTCAAATCTTCAAACGGTAAACTTTACAAAAAAAAATCTTAATTTTAATGTATGTTCTTGACTTTATTCCAAGTGATTCTGGACCATTTTTTCATCTGTATTATCATGGACATTCTGCAAGAAACATTCTTGTAAGGTAAGAGGAAGCTGGCATTTTCAAATGATATACAAAAATTTAAAAACTGAAAAAAGGTTTTGATAATACAGTGACAAACAGTGACTTTTAGCATGTCCCAGCGTGTCCTTAACTGTCCTTTCTTTTCCAGTGTTTGGTTTGCAGAGTGGGTTAGATGAGGTTGCCCCCAAGGGATTATGTACCTTGCTCAAAGGCATAATGTCAGCGGTCAGAAGAAATATACTTGGACCTGTTGGCCTCTGGGGCAGTCAATACCCATGCTGCTCTCTCTGGGACTGAGTCAGGGACCCTATTGCTCTCCAGTGTTCTGGTTGCTGGTATGGGGCCATAACCCTCTGAGTATGTGAAGGTGAATTGTTTTTCCAGGATAAGAATTTGAAGAATGCAAATGTGAATCTGACAACAGTTCTCCTCTGTTATTCTAACACGTACATCCGTACCTGCAAGATTTCAAGGCTGACATTATTATTTTTTTAACTACTGTAAAATATTCTGATAGTGTAATGGAAAATACCTGTGGAGACAGGAGTAGGAGATGTCCTGCCGGTGCCTGAACTTGTATTGCTGTTGGACCCATATTTCTCCATGAGTTCAGCAAACTCTCTCCTGATAACACAGACAGTCATCATTGAGGCCTTCATAATGAATGTATTTTCATGAAAGTCATAATTCGATTGCATTTCAGTATAAAGAGTTTCAAAAAAGTATTTTGTTAGGTTAATTTGGAAAAAAAAAACACTTTTAGACTCTCTTTGTGGGGAGAAAGTTTGGAGAAGAATTCCAACCAGACTGCACTAAGAGTACTGTAAATCACAGAGGTGGAAACACCTGGGTCTGGGGCTGTTTTTCTTACAATGGTGTCTGTGAGTTTGTGTTCATTGTTAGGATCATGAACTCAGAAGTTGATTGACATTTTGGAAGTCTGTAAAGAAACTGCTCAAATGGGCACTCAGAATTCTTAGCCAAAAAGACAATGACAGTCTGGAAATAGTCTGATACATTTTTGAGTATGGCATAAATGTTCACATTTTTGGGGGACACTGTATGTTGTGATGCTTTCTAGGGATGGTGACAGCACAGATTTTCTTTTCAATCTGATTTCAAGTAGCTAATATTCCTATATCAAACTGATACTTTCAAAATTCTTCTTGTGCGTGTAATAAGGGGAAATTTTGGGGAAAAATGGGAAGGAAAAAATTTCTGCAGTGAACCCATATGGAAGAAAAATATATGTGCATATATTTGATCATATAAAAATACATGTATCTTTTATATGTAATATTTAAAAATACGTGCTAAATATATTTCACTGTACCATTTTTTGAATATTAAAGTATATGCCAACATACACACATATATGGCAATATATTGAAATATATGCACATATGTTGGTTTTAAAATATGCAAGAGTGTCAATTTTTGATATTTACATATATGTCAAACATATGGATATGTGTGGGTCATTCTACCATTGTGGTGGCAAATGGAATCCCACAGCTTTGAAGCCATAAAGATGATCTCAAAAAAAAAACATAGAAAATTAATGAATATATGTATTCTTTGCCCGATTTCTAAATTAACCAACAAAAACAAGTTTTTTATTGTTTTCTTTTTTTTACCATAATTTTAGTATGTTTTGCATGGAAAAATGTTTTGCATGTCACAGTCGTGACCTCACAGATGCTGAAGTATTATTTTGTGTATGAAACATTGATTTTGATGCTTGTTTTTCAATTTAAATTGTAAAAACTCATTAAAGTCATTGTCTGCCCTATATTAAAATGATTTTAAATACATAAACATATTTATATATTTTTCCATGTTTTTGTCAGTGGTGTAAATTACTTCTTTTGTATGTCTATGGAAGAAAGATTTACTCTGAGAAGTCCACAGTAAGTGAAATTTCTTTTATAAACTTCCCATTTGGCTAAAATACTGACAGCTTTATGTGTCACAAAAAGACTTAGTTAGTGGCGTTACTATTCACACACTGTGAATTTGAAACTAAAGTGGTAAGTGGCTGTACTTTAGTGAAGCTCAGATTTAAGTAATTTTGTCTGTGGTGTTACAACCAGTATAACAGACAGATGTTTTGCTCTTGAAATACCCTTTTGCCACTGTAATTGTTGAATGACTCATAAGAAAACAGTCGGTATGAATATTTTTATGTAAGGATCAGTCTTAAAATTAAACATCAGCTTGGAAGTATCAAGTATTGTCCAGTATTTTTCTGCCCATTCTTGGTCTTTTCACACTGTTTCCACTCTTTGACAGCAGCTTGCTCACAAAGCTAAACTATAATGAATGTGTCATTTAAATGAAATGTACTGTAAAAATCATCACATGCTTTAAAAAGCATTAAACTGTTAAACACATGAGACCTGAACTAATCATTCACAGCAGAATCTCTTTGATTTGCTAATTGTTAGCCAGTGACTGATACCGCAGTGCCAATTAAAAGCAACTCCTTCATTACTCATTGAAAAGAGGCTAAGTGGCACTTAATTAGATTACTCTCTTAATCATAGATAAATAAGACTCTTAAGATACAGAGTCAAATGGAACAGCTTCATAACAGAAACGAACAGATTTATAAACTAACCCGAATGATGATAAACATGCAAAATACAAAGACTCTAACACAGATTATAGTTGTAAATCAACTACAAGCAAGTGTTCACTGTTACACAAAAATGTGTTTTTGATGAACAGTTGTCCTTTAGCAGTGATGGTAATCCTCAGAGGGTAGCCCACTGTTCTGGCTCTACAGGTTCAAGCCAGGTTGCATCTGATCGACTGGTGGCCCTAATACGTCAACATGTATCCAACTCTAGGTGAAAGCGTGCCTTACAAAGTCCCAGAGACCAGCAGAATGCCAACTCAGTTTATACTAAGACATCCAGTAGATTCTGACAGCTGCTCCACATAGTGTCCTCCCATTAGCATATAGTGCGAAAAGAAAAGAGTAGCTGGCTTCAGAGTTTCTGGCTTGAGAATTCCCAACAATATGTCTTTACAAATATGTAGCAGTAGCTAAAATTTGACAGCACTGAATATGGCTTGTTATTTATTACAGAGTATGCCTAAGTGGTATGATAAAGCAAAGTAAATGTGAAGAATATGCTACAACACTGTAGTTCTACAACCTGGACCAAGAGTCCCAATTAAGTGCTAAAGACTTTAATGTACTTAGTGTATTATGACTATTTTTAGACTTATAAAAAACAATCAAGAAGCTCTCTGCGCTCATCCACTAACAGGATTAATGTGCAAGATGACAGCAACAGTGTGTCTCACAAATCAACATTTCATGATTTAGAATATTGCCAATTCCTTTTTTTATGTTGCTAGCAGCACCTGCCTTTAACTTCTAACAACAGTTTTCTTTACAATGTAGATGTAAAGTAATCTAATCAAAATAATGATCAGGACATTAAGATCCTTCATAACTGACTACTTTAAGAAGAGCGTAAAAGGTTTTCTGATACCTGGACTCCTCATCCCGAGCAATCAGAAGAGACATGTGGTTTGTGGCCGATGCCATGCGCAGAATCTCCACCGCCCTGACAAAACACAGCAGATGGATTTTATTTCCTACAGGCACATTATCCTCATTTATCTGAGAACATCATGACAGATTATAATGTAATTAATTAACCGTGACAAGATCAAGTCATAATGTGATTTGTATTTGATGGAAGGGATTGGAAAAAGAAGCAGAAGGACTGCTAGAGCTATGTGCAGTCTTGGCGGCAGAATTCCATGAAATTCTTTTCGTGACAATGTTTTATGTTGTTTATGTAGGTGTCACTGTATTTGCATGCATACCTTTCATTTGTGACACCCCCTAAATTCATGTTGTTGACATCTAAAATGAGGTCACCAGCTCTAAGACGTCCTGGCAGGAACAAATTAGCATTATACCAATTATCAACTCACAGAAAGACACTTAGCAGGTTTATGATGTGGAAAAGTGCCAGCATACCGTCCTGTGCAGCCACACCACCAGGTAAGACCCGTTTAATGAAAATTCCAAACTCTTCACCACTTAGCTCTCTGTAACCTCCAATGATCTTGACCCCTGGCAGATGGATGCAAAAGGCTTAAAGTTAGTGATAAAAAATAACTCTTAATGCTGGTGCAAAATAGGGTTCTTTGGGATGACACAATAAAAGGACCACTTCTGGTTCTCTGAAAAAGCTTTCAATAGAGGGTGCTTTAACTCATTCATATCCAGCAGCTAAATTTAGTTCGATAAGTAAAAATGCTACAGATTTTGTTTTAATTGTTCTAAAGTGAAGAAGAGTTTTTGGGAAAAGTTTACAACAAATGTATCTTGTACATTGCTGTGAGGATCTGATTGCACTCAGTTACAAGTGCATTTATGAGATCTCATGTTGGATGATTAGTTCTGGATCATAAACTCCACTCCATATCATCCCAGTGATGGTGGAATGGTGCTCCATCATTCCAGAGAATGCTGGGGAACTTTCTACCCCTCACACCAATGCTTGGCAATGGACATAACTGGCTAATGTGTGGCTTCTCCAAAGCATCACATTCTATTAACACTGCTATTCTATGAAGATCAAGGGTGAATTCATACACCCTCAAAAGGTATTCTGGCCTAAAACTAGAACTAAATGTGTTTTTTTTGTGTTACATAATACCCTGTAGTGCAGTATTTTGCTCCTCAGCCTTATCGGTCTGACAGAGTTCATGATTTTTTATTTATATTTGTTTTCATGCTTTCGTTCATCGATGTTCTCTCACGACAACACCCAGCATTCGTTTTGCAAATACACCATACAACCACTGGGAATCCCTATGGTGTCAACCAATCCCGACTGCTAATTCTTACCTTGATCATCAGACAAAACTGTAATGAAAACAGGGACTCTATCCAAATTCAGCAAAGAACAGACACCAGAGGCGAGTTTCTCACCCTTTCAGGCAAAGAAAAGAAGACAAACTGAGGTAAGGTATCTAGACAGCCATCTGCATTGATAATTTTAGCTTCTAGCTAAAGTTACCACAGTTATATGGAAGCAATAAGATATTTGGATCTCTAGCAGTGACATTAGATATTTGCCTACTTTTTGCAATTGCCAGCTAGCAGAAAAAAAAAAAAATCAAGCAAACTCCCAGAAATCCACCCCATAGCAGCTGTAGTTATTCAAAAGTTCCCCCACCTTCAAGGTACATCATAAGAGGGGGGTTTCCTAGTCCTTAAACTTTAAACTGGAAAATCTCACTGGAAACTACTGCTTCTGTACAGTGGAAGGCATATTTACAACAGACATTGTGGCTGGAATGTGCCCTGAAGTTGCTAAATTCACTCATTAGAAGGGATAAACAGGTACTTTTAGTCTGGATATACTCTAGTTATAATGTGAACGAACATCTAACATTAACCATTCAAATGCATCCTTTTAATCAGAATCAAAGTTGGATTTACAATTGTTTTGTTAAGATTCTGTAGTCCCATATGACCAAAAGGCTGATTTTAATATCACAAGAAAAACTCTTTTAGTCATATGGTTTGATTGATTTTCTTCAGATTTATGCTGAGGCAAGCTCAGAGAACATAGGGATCAAAAAACTTGTATAATTTCAGATATGGATATCAAATAACAGTTTTTGTAAATGACATATGCAAATATGAAGAACCCTTTTAAAGTTAAAGAACCTCAATGCAATGTACAAGTTTTTTTTATTGAAAAAAGGCTTCGCAGCAGTTTACATCCAAGCCAAGAACCATTTTGAAGTGCATTCTGAACACAGACCCTGCTCTGAAACTTACCGAGTCCTTTTCTGCAGTCAGAAAACTCCAGTCTCTGCACAGCACGGTTGATGCCATGGGGTCCCATGATGGTCCTGAAAAACAGCCATCAACTGTCTGTACGTAATCACAACAGAAAAATGTGCATGACAGAATCAAAAATAGAGACAAATACCTCATTTTATATTAGAAGAGGAAGAGACTGTTTTTTAATGGAGCTGAATGAAGGGAGACATAGTAATAGTAATCCAAAATCACTCTAAAAATAAATACACTATTCAAAGTGATTAACAATAGGAAGTAGGTTACTGCGCTTGGGTTTATTTCATAAACAATGCCATGCATAGGTAAACATCGCTCCTATTGGAAAAGTATGCCTCCAATCTGTTAAACTAGAGCTTGATCTCTGTTGAATTTAATCCCCATAACAGACAGAAAGAAACACTATGCAAAAGCTCCACTCTTATCTAGGCCATCAACCGTGGTTCTGAAAAAGCTTTGAAAAACTAACGTATCACACAGAAAGCAGACGGTCACATTGTTTAATTGATTATTTTAATAAATAGTTTTCAGTGCTAATTTTTTATGCTGTAAACTATGCACAGAACTTCCTGATTTTCAGTTTGGCTATTTTTTATATCAATTTTACCATGTATTCAAGTTTTCTTTACTGATCTGAGAAAAAAAAATGCAAATAATACATAATTATGTCTAGCAAGTAATGGTGCGACATCTATCTGTTAAAGCAAAAGAACATGAGCATTAACTAAGAAACAACTGTCATTGACTCGGCTGAGGATGTATGAACATGAATGGAGCTGATGGACACCAGTCATGTGAGTTCATGTACAGGTCAGGTGGAAATAAATGCAAAGCTAAGACAAATAACAATGGAAGCTCTGCCTGTAAAAAGTTTGACCCGGTTGTATTGCAAGCTTCTTCAAGTGCACCAACCCCCTCCCCAAACGAACTGTAAACATTCTACTTTAATCTGAGCATGACGTTGTAGAGATGAGGAAAGGTGAAAAGAGCAACAGGCAGGACGGCATGGTTGTAAGCCCCTTATCTGCCCTACAAATAAAGCTATGGACTGTACTGTATAAAGTATCTTCTGAGGCTGGTGACTATTCGATGTAAAGCAGCCATGCCTATAGAACAGGACAATGCAACAAGCTTACTACATAGGATTGTGTTACAGAAGCTGAGGCATTTAAACTGATCACTTAATTCAGTCTAATCTGTCTTACTTTCCACAAGCCACATTAGGATACATGCTGAGGAGCGCACTGGAGCCATGCTGTGTGCCCATCTTGAATCCATCTAACCAATTAAACCCTCGATATGAACTTCTTGCAGACCTATTATGATTTAAGCACAGGTTTTCAGTGGTAACCTGTTATGAAGAAATCCCTTTGCCATGTCTGCTGATCTTTGTAATGTACATTCTAGAGCAAATCAAGTGAAACACATGCTGCTTTACCTGAGGGCAGAAAATTTCAGTCTAATGCATGCATAATTCCATGCTCAAACTACATTAACACAGCAAATCCTCATCACCAACATAAATACATCTACATCTTAGACTCGCAGTCATTCTCTTATTCAAAAACATTTCACTTCCAGATGACTCAACACAGCCAAGCAAGATCACAAGCACATTATAACCATAAGGCAGAAGCAAAATTAGATTCAAAAACATTTGCAGCTTTTCTAAATCTGCAGATTTGTGCATTAAAAAGGAGGACAGCCTACCAGTAAAGCAGGGATAGTCCGTCAAAGTGCTCTGCCTCCACTGACTGTGGCAGCAGTGGCATTGCAGGTCCAAAAACAGCTGATTAAATATTATAAAGGCAACCTCATCACTGGGTCGGGGAGATGACGGTTCAAATCAGGACGGTCTAAGATGACCGAGAGACAGCAGTCTACCCAGACAGTTACAGACATGCGCCTACCTATCCACTAATCTCCCCTGATACCCAGCAGTCACATGGTGTGCTTCACCTCTCCCTCCACTGCCACCCCTGATGATGTGTCTCCCTCTGAAAGCATAACAAGGCACCAGACACTAAATGTTAAGACATCAGGATGACGTGTTAAGACGATATGTAAAGGAATAGATAATAATACAAAATTCAGACCTAAGCATAGGTTAAATACAGAAGACTAAATGGGACAATTATTATCTGCGTTTAACAAATCCATAAATCTCCCACCAAAAATTGACCAAAAACACCAAAAACAAAAAACAATCTATGTGAACTGTCAACAAGCTGTAATTACAAGAACTATAAAATGCCTGCCTGTTAAACCAACAAAAAAACAATGATGCTGTCATTCGGGTACGGTCCACAGTGTGGCACTGTTTCAAAAACACAATAAGTAATAATGTCACCTCAAACCATCTGTGGAGGAACTTAACCATTAAAACTGAACTTTATTTTTTTTATAATTTTTTAACAGTGAATCTAGGAAAACATGCATTAACCATTCAAAAATGTGTTAATCCCATCTCAGGAACTATATCTCATTATTTTAGGGGGTTTCTTCACTGATACTGACTTTTTAGCATAGAATTAGCAAATATGCAAAATGTGGTTAATAGCATCTACGCTAACGACATTAGGACATTAAGGACGTCCTAATTATTCACTTTTTAAATTAATAATTTACTTTTATTCTATAATTTGGATAATATGGTTGAACTTTCAAAATGACTGTCAGTCAATATTAAAATATCACTGAAATAAAGAACAAATAATGAGACCTTAGCTGTGTCCAAAACTGTGTGCTGTTTTCTACATACTGCACTGTTTGGGTGTTCCACCATTTTGTAGTGGTGTCCAAAAACAGAAGATCTGCTGCACTCAAAAAACCCAGCTGCACCAGAGAACTTGTACACCTGTAAATTAGTGTACATGTACCTGAGTGGATACCCAAGTGGATACCCATAATGCACTGCGTTGTTTGTAAATAATGATCAATCCTGTATAAAGTTAGTAATTTTCTAGCACCACAAATTCTGTTCTCTGTAATAGTTTTCTATATGGTGATCCAGATTTTCAATGTAGGCAGTGATGAGGGCACCATTTCGGACACGGCAGTTGTTTTTCTTCCTCCCATGATCGCCAAAAAATTTGATGCGAGTTCCTGTTGAATATGTGACTTATTCCAGAAATATTGTGAAATATTCCAGATATACAGCAGGAGTGAAAGTGTTCTGGTAGGCTAACAGTGAGTGTGGAACACAAACTAAAAGTTTTCTTATCCTATAGTGGATGACTATAATGGAAAACTATGTTATATGGATTCACACATTGCTGCAAAAATAATGACTAAAAATAATAATGTGAGTCTGAAAAGAATAGATACAGTAGAAAATAAATTAATGGAAATAGTATTAGTGGAAAAATATACAGGCTAAAAATACGTAAGTACGAACAGCAAAATAAATTAATAAAAAATATAAATTTCCTAATCTGTTTGTACATTCACATTTTCATTTCTTACTTTATTTTTACACTTACTTGCTCGCGGAAGGCGACTGAATGGTGCATAGGAACTATTGCAACGCTACAGTGTTTTCGGGGGGGAGTAATGAGTGTGTGGGATCAGTGTGCACCGTTGGCTGTGGCAGGTCTGTGTTGAACAGTGCGGTCATTTCGTCGAGGTACGAGACTTCAAACCTCATTCATTCATTTCTGTCAGTTAATCAAGTTATCATGCGTTTATTCTTCTCTATGTAAAACTATATGAAATGGTGATGGCGACTACATAGAACTGGCTACATAGCTGTCTGGCTAGCTAGATTAGCTAGATGTCCTCCTGAAAGTAACCTAGTTAGCAGTCTTGTTAACTAGTTAATAGAGTTTACAGGCTGTTTTATTGACGTCTTTATGTCAGTCAGATATCATTTATTTTTCTATTTGACATATTCCATTGTCTACCCAAAGAATAAATGACCTTAACTTTTTCAGCTTTTAAAAACCGTGACTTTACAGAAATAGTAAAGTAAGTAGTTAACAATACAATGAGTTTACATCAGTATAAAGGCGTTGATAGGCTAACGTTAGTCATATTCCTACAGTAACGTTACAGTAAAGATATTTAAAGAGGCCACATCATGGAAAAATGAATTTGGTTCGCTCTTTTGGAATAAGTTGGATGTAGTATGTAAACACTGTTAAAGTTTCAAAATCTAGCTAGAAGTTTCAAAGCCCCTAGCAATCAGCTGTGGAGCAGTAGAACTAGCTACATTCTCTGGAGTGCTGAAGCTTCATCCGTTACCTTTGTAATGAGTTAGAGTGGTGTTTATGATCCAGAACAAAATCATCCAACAATAGTACCTCACCTAACTAGTGCTTTTGTGGCTGAATGCAATCCTCACAGCAGTGTTTCAACATCTAGTGTAAAGCCTTCTCCGAAGAGCAAAGGCTGTTATTGGACCAACTTTATTAATACCCTTGATTTCAAAAGAAACCTTGGATGAACAGGTGTCCGGTTACTTTTGAACATATACTGGGGAGATTTAATAATGTTTAGTGTGATCACAAACTCCATTTTGTAATGAAAAAGTGTCTCCTGCAATTTACTAAACAAAGCACAACAGTCCTTTAGTGCCTATAAAAAGATCAAAGGGGTGTTTGCTGCTTTTTGTGCTTTTGTCTCAATGCAAATGCATTTATAGTTGTTTCCCTACTCAAAGCACTAAATAGTGGGAGGACATTATTATAATAAAGCACCTACTCTGATTTACTAAGACTGATAATAAACACTGACTGTGCATTATTTAACACCTGTGAAAAACTTTTCTTATTTTTAGCACTAACATGGCTGCAAATGTTGTGCTCAGAGACAAAAGAGAGTTTTTTAACACACTTTTATTTCCAATGAAAAAAATCTTTAAATGCCTGTCACATCACAATATTCTTACTGTGATGAAGGAAATAAAAAACCTAAAACCAAATTGTTTTTCTAAATCTGTGTTATAAACTATTTCCTAATACTCCTTTGGGTATATTTTACAACACTGTCAAAGAGAATGTTTTCAAATGTTTGTTGAAAGCTGAAAGCTGAAACTCTTTGGCACTGCAAAACCTTATTTACTAAAGCTACTCCTTACTTTGTTATTCACAGCCATTCTTTGATTTACTGCATGTATCTAAGAGATTATGTTAAAAATCAAATAGTTCCCAAAGGACCTGGGTGTGAAATTAAACATGGATTTTACAATATAAAACAATATAATACAATAAAGTTTCCAAATGCACTTGGCACATAATGTTCAGCTCATCCCAACAGCTAAAAATGAACACAACAGAAAATCAAAATAATTGCTAATTTTCCTTTTTTCTTGATGTATTATGTTGACATAATGTCTTATTTTCTCAATACAAATGTTTATTATAATTAAATAATCACATAGTTATTACAAGTCATTATTTTGACCAAATGAGTCACAGTTTGATCCTGAAACACATGGATAATTTTTTTTTTCTCCTGCCTGCCATAAACAGGCTTTCGTACAAAAGGCATGTGAGCCAAACACAGGGTTATATTGCACTGGTAATGTATGTAATTACAAAGATGCACCTTTGTTTATTTGCTTGGTAGAAAACGCGCTAAATTGGCCACTCCTAATCCTGCAAAGTGTCTGTAGTAATTATTTAGTAATTTATATTTATGAATCAAGCATAATTCTGTAGGCATTCACATATTATTTTACATTCTTCTTTTTTACATTACAGGCTGGCAGAAGAACTGTTTTGAAGAGGCTTTTACTAGAACTTGGGGGTTATGCTTCTGTCTTTTGCCTTCCGTGAGTGCTGTGCAAAGCGCTATGTACAGCTAGCCTTTTGTAATGCTCAGATATGTATTAAAAACCTGAATGCCAGAGGACTAGCCACTTCTACCAGCCAGCTCTTTGTCAGGAGAACACCTCAGCGGTTTATTAACCAGACACGAGGAGCTAAAACGCACAAGAAAAAGACACACAATTACCAGGATGAATGGAAGCAAAGGAATAAGACCATCCTCACATATATTGCAGCAGCTGGGGTGGGCATGATTGGCATGTCTTATGCTGCTGTGCCACTGTACAGACTCTACTGCCAGGTCAGTGCCAGATGTCTTGAGGCTTTGATATTGTTGACTGCTAATATCAAAGTAGTCTAACACAAACCCACTTAAAATTGATTGTACTTTGAAACTGACTGTCAGATGATCTACCTTCTACTGCAGGTATCGGGACTGGGTGGCACAGCAATTGCAGGGCATGATGCAGATTTAGTGGAAACAATGAAGCCAGTTAAGGATCGCATTATTAAAGTCACTTTCAATGCTGACACACATGCAAGTCTCCAGTGGAATTTCCGCCCTCAGCAGTCCGAGATCTATGTGAGATAATTAAGTATTTCTTATCTTATTTCTTATCTTATTTGTGCTGCTAAATTGATTCTTGGTTTTATTAGTGAATCTTAAGTTGGCCTAAGTAACAAATTGTGATTTATAGAAACATCATAAATGTGAATAAACTATTTCCTTTCAGTGCACTATAGTAAATTTAATCTTCCTTTTTTGTCATTCAGGTTGTGCCAGGAGAAACTGCTCTAGCATTTTACAAAGCACGAAATCCCACAGACAAACCTGTGATAGGAATCTCTACCTATAATGTAGTGCCATTTGAAGCTGGGCAGTACTTTAACAAAATTCAGGTACTGGAGAATCTATTACATACTTTTAATAACTATAAAATAGTCTTTGTATTACTTTGACTCCTTTCATTTTCACCTCTTTAAGGCTGTTTCTACCTTGCATCGACATGCATTTCGGATCATGTTTGAACTTCACTTGACCGCATGATAAGCCCGTGTCCTGGGTGTAAACACATCCAGGACACCTCACTAAAACCACATTCAGAGGTGGTCAGAGATGGCTCTTGACTACATTTAACACAAGAGTAAACGTAATTCATTTTCTATAAACAAGTATAAGATGAAGGATACATATGGCTGGAGTTATCCCAAAAGCAAGGCTTGTTGATTTGTATGGTAACTGGGAAAGCGTAAACAGAAGTCAAATAAAATAACATATGTATTTAAGTGCTTTTTGTGTGAGAAAGTAAAATTGTATCTTTTCTGGTCACACTGGGGACGCATTTTAGTGAAAAGTGTAAACAGAACCTGGCCATAGTATATCTAGGTATGATCCAGACATGAAACCTATGTTATTGCAAGATGTAAACAGCCTCTTTGTGTCTTTCTGACACTGTCAAGAGCCTAAAAATGGTCTTGCGTACATTTGTGGGATCAACTTGTGAGGAGTTTGTCTACTGCCATTTCTTACACTCAACTGAACTGAGCTTTGCCTTCTTGATCCACAGTGCTTCTGCTTTGAAGAACAGAGGTTAAACCCTCAGGAAGAGGTGGACATGCCTGTTTTCTTTTACATTGACCCAGAGTTTGATGAGGACCCCAGAATGGCTCGAGTTGACACCATTACACTCTCTTATACCTTTTTTGAAGCCAAAGAAGGACAGAAATTACCCCTTCCTGGATACAGCTAAATAAGCAGTACATGGTGCATTATTTAGAGACTTCACTTTTCTGATGAAACTTGGATATCTAATAGAGCATCATTTATACAAATGTCATGCAGTTTGCAAAAGCCTTTTTAACTATGTCATCTGTGTAATGAAGTGTGTTAATGTTGGTGTACCCTGGCACTTTTTGTGAAATTCCACTTGAATGACCATTTAGAATGATTAGTGGCTTCAAAAGCCAAGCTGTAAACTGTGCAATAAATTTACACAGTTGGGTACTGAAGTGCATGCAAGTGCATTACCTCTTTCAGTACAGTAGGGGGCAGAACGGTTGCAATTTCCCCCCTTTAAGCAGCTCGAAAAAGAAATGTGAGCAAAAACAAGGTCCATTGCATTTGGTCTGTTATCTTATTCTGTATCAGAGTTTAAAGGCTCATAAGGGTTATCTTGCGATCTGATTTTGTCGTGATTGCACATAGGGACAGTGAGGTACATTTGGACGTTACGCAACTGTAGCGGAGGTAGAGACATCTGCACTTACATAACGTGTGATCAAGCAATCTCGATGGTACTCAAACAAACAAGGTTGCGCAATGCCAGAAAAAAAAAAAAAATCAGCCGTGATGAAAATACACTGTAGAGTTCAAATAAAAATCCATAATGTATTTACCACGCATTATGTGATGGCCATAAAAGTGAACAGTAAAAAAAATTTTTAATTTTTTTTTTAAATTTACAGTTGTTCTGAACTGGGATTTACAGAGAAGGTGATATCATATTAACCATCCTTGTGCCTAAGTTAAGCTATATGCTTATAAACCCAGTGTCCGGTGGTTGAGCAATGTTGATGGCGAGGCTGTCACTTGTCGCGCAGGATACACACTGTACCAAATCTGCCTCAGTAACGCTTTGCACTGTACTCCGCACGTCTACATCGTTACTGGTGCCCCGGAAAACAACAAACCCAACCACGTTGCTCCTGGAGTTGAGCATAGCTGACTCGGGATCGAGCAAAATGACCCCACGCTGTCCAAACTAAAGGACCTCCCGCGTCGCTGCTGATCCAGAATCAGCTCTATCCGACCACAACAGCGCTTGGCAACGCTGTTTAGCCACACCCTCTCCTGTGCCAAGTGGGCGGGTCTAGAGTTTCATGGACACGTTTGGTGACGAATGACAGGAGAGAACTGGCCCTAGCAACTCCAGCGGAGAGCCAATCAGGATTCAGCTTGGGAAGAACTTTCTGTTTTTTTCCCCTGTTGAGGGAAGCTGAAGCTACAGTGGAATCCAAGCAGATGATCTCAATGGACGAGTGTGACGAGGAGGAGAAAAGGAAACAGAGAAAGGAATACAGTCTTGAGAGCACATAGTGTCAAAAGTCTACGAGGTATTTCTACTTCGTCTGTCGTTGTGGAAGAACTGGTTCGTTTACGGGATAACTATAAGAACTGGCTAAACGACCGTTTATGCTACGTTAGTGCGTTTATTCCCCTTTAGAACGACGTCGTTCCTCGACAGCATCTTAAGATCTGACTAGACCTGAATCCGTCTTTCAGCTGAGCTGGAGTGGGAAGAATTGTCTTTGCCATGTGTGGGAAAGAAAGACAAGTGTTGAACGCATAGGTTTGGTGTCATGTAGGAAACAATAGAGCGACAGGTCTGAAATTGTGTACAGAGAAAAGACAGACAGAGCACAAATGAAAAAGATGATCCATAATGGGACATCGGAGTGACACATCCATGAAGATGAGCCACAGGAGCAGCCCCGCAAAAGCGTATGATTTTCTGCTGAAATTTCTGCTAGTGGGAGACAGTGATGTGGGAAAGGGGGAGATACTGGCCAGTTTGCAGGATGGATCCAGTGAATCTCCCTATGGATATAATATGGGTGAGTAATCAAGAAGATACAGCAGTAGTTGACAAAATCAACTGTGGACATTCTAGGGGATAGGCTACTACCCACATCTGGCCAGATGCTGCTTTACATGTTTTTTTTCCCCCCCATTATGAATTTGTATGTATAGTAAAAGATCTAGCATCTGAAATAATTCCATGGAAGCTCACTGTGTGAAATTGAAAAGTTTCTATAAAAAGTAAGACTAATCAGGTGGGGAAAAGGAATAAATACAAAATAAATAAATATATAGGTTCCTCAGCTTCTCCAAAAAATCTTTAATATAATTGTATTTGTATTGTCACAAATTATTATTGGATTGCATTTACTACATAACACAAAGTAGCTTAACAACAGCATTTAAAAAGTGTTGCTCAGATAGCGGTGCTTGTCCTAGGTTTAGGGAAACAAGCATTTTTTTAGTCTTATTTTGTGTGCGTTTTATAACTTTGCTCAGCATTTAGTTCGAAATTTTAGGTCAGGAACTGACGCATATGTTTTTATCATGATTAGTAGTTGAACTTTGGTAACCCATAGCCTGTTTGGAAAAAAGTAGCTGCTCCCCTGAGACAAATCAGCTTCAGTGAAATGCCATGGGGATAACATAGCTGGAAGCACTGCTCCTGTTACAAACACATATTTCATAGGTTGTGTGTTTTAAAGAGCAAAAAGTCTTCTAAACTAGTATTGTTGGCAGCCCCCAAAGTTTGATGTGGAAGCTTAGGGATTGTTTGCAGTAAAAGTACTGGCAGTGTAAAGTAACTTTTTTTGGCTCAGTTCATCCCAACACTGCTCCACTTGAACACATTTTGTGGTTGTTTCACCCCCCACTACATGTCTTCTGCTCAGCTGCCCTCGTTGGGAGTATTCAGACATGTGGTGGTCTTTTATTGTGTTGTGAGCACAACATATTGTGTCTTGAAAGTGTGGAAAGATTTTGTCCACTGCCATTTTCAAAGTGCACTTGGTCAAAGTCCAGGGTCTGCCGGAGTATTCTGAGCCTCATTTGCGCAGGTTAGATTACACTGGTGCTGTTTGGGACGAGGAGATTGCCCCCACTAACAGATCTAGTTACTGTGAACGTTGGACCAGCATTTAATGTGATTGACAGCTTGTTCACCAAAGGTCAGAGGGTGGTGGAGCTCAGAATGCCTTTCATAGCTGCTCTCTGTTCACCTGTGCTGTGCAGTGGTACTTATAGCAATGAGTGCTCCTCATATGAAGGACAGAAGGTTGTAGTTAAAAAAAAAAAGCAATGAATCATATGCTGCTGAGAAGAAGAAATGAAGCATTAATAACAATTACATAAGAGAGTAATTGCTGGTTGTGTTTACTTACTGATCCATGTTTTTTTCCAAATCACAGAAATAAAAATATTTTTTCTTCAATAATTACCAAATAATTTCAGTAATTAGAGGCACCACGTCTTTCAAACAGACCCAGTTCAGTTGTTATCTGTTGATATTGCGTAATATTAAATCCAAACCAGTCCTAGCTCATATTCCTCGTGGGAGTGCGAAGCATTACGCCACCATCTACGCCTTCAAATTTCACAGTTGGTTCATCTACATCATCTTTGGCAGAATTTTCCTTCTTAGGCCTTCATGTGCAGCTGCCAAGATACAAATATTCTACAAACAGACTCTCTACAATATCCAAGGTCCAGAGCAGATTGCAGACTTGTGATTTATTTTAAAAAATTGGAATTAAAATGGTATAGATTTTGGGGGGTCGTCTCTTTCATAAGTGATAACCCTGCAGTGCTGCGAGCTCGCAGGAGGCTCTGTTGTGATTTCAGTCTGGAGCAATTATTACTACTGTCATAACCTCTTATATAACTCTGCTTTCCTCTGCTCCCAGGCTCTGAACAAGATGTAGCTACAGGGACTGTGGACGCAGCCAAGGTTTTCTGGCAATAAAAGAGCGGAATATTCAGATGTTTGTCTAAGCACTTTTTTTGTGACCCTCTTTAGTGGGTTGTGTTTTGGGGTGAGTGTTTATAGAAAGTGCTCTCTATCTCATAGTCTGGTCCTCAGTGTGGCCGTGACAAATGAAGCTTCTCAGCTGCTCTTCTGCGTGTTGATGCTGTAAAAGAAGCTGCATAGCTGAGGAATGAGCCAAATGTTCCTCTTGCTACCAAGGCCTCTGGTGTATTCCTCAACCTCTTTTGACTGAACTTAACTCTAAGGTCAGGTGGTCAGATACTCTGGTATGAAATTCTGGCTTGCCCACGCGCTTGGTGCACACTTAGGTCGATGGTAAGCCTAGTCAAGCTAACAAAATAGCCAGTCTCCTCAAAGGTCCAGAGAACACAGAGGGGGTTTGTATTGCGCTTTGGTCTGTTCAGATGCTCGTGTGCTGTTGTACCAGGGAGCGTGTGCCAGTGATGGTTCTGCACGACTGAGCTTAAGCTTGAGAACGTCATCACCTACTAAAGCTTTCAACTTCCTACTGCTCTCTCCTGTTGGTTCTATATGTCATCCTGTCAGAAAACATCCGTGCCTCGTTGCTGTGTGGTGTAAAGGGAAGAGAAAAGAGGTGCAGGGAACTGGATAATTGCACAGGGAGACAGAAAGTGTTGGTGAGGAAAAAAAAATCTGTCGAGATGAATCAGAGGTTGCCCACACAAACAGGAAGACTGCATCCTGCAGGCAGACTTTTTGATTAAAAAAAATCTATCACACTGGTAGTTTATTTGGAGTTGCAATCCGTTTATTCAATATATATATTATCTTTATCCAAAAAAAAAAAATTAATAATCTTGAACATTAACTGGAACTTTGCCATAGAAGACAAAAATGTTGTTTGTAATGTTAATTGTAAGTGAATGTTAAGAAGCAGTTTTGGAGCATTTCTGTCAGTCCATTCATCATGAAGTGCAGCTAAAATAGAAAAATAGAAATAGAAAAATTGTTGACTGTTGACTGAGTGAGGGAACCCTTATGAAAAAGAACAATAGTAATACTACATGAGATACTACAGGATTCCTATAAGAATATAAAAATAGACAGGATACTACACACTACACTATAGACTACTACAAGACAGAACTACAGAAATTTTATAGGAGGTGAAAATATTATGTATTATTACAGAAATATTACACAACGCAACAGAAATCTTATAGTTTCTTATAGTGCTCCTAGTACAGATCTTTTCTGCAAGGCAGTGTATCATATCATGGTCTGCTGGAACCTATAATTTAATTTAACGTCATGATAATCTGTTTATTAGAATATTTGTATTACCTCTGCCTCTTATATGTGAGCCCATAACCTTCAAATACATTGGGGTTTTCAGGTCACTGGCCATGATCTCATTCTCAAATTAATTTTGGCGAGTTTATGATGGATTAATTTGGCTTCATTCAGGCAGAGGTGGATAATTCAAAGCCTGTGCTGTCACTAAGATATGCCTCAGAAAGGGAGCATGTATATTTCCACAGTATTGGCCTTCAGCCTGGCTGTCACAGAGGAATGTACGATGGGTCATGGAGCTCCTCAGAAGTAATCAGAGTGATCACTATGTGTGTGTTTGTGTTTGGAGTCAAAGACCTCTCAGATATGACACTAAGCACTCCTAACAATCAAAGAGATGTCTTTTAAGCTTTCCCTTTGTTAATACTGTACCCCTATTGTGTTATTCATGGTTGCCTGGAGACTGTTCTACTTGAACAGAGGAAAACTTGAACAGAGGAATGACAAGCGAGATGCAGATGAAAGCGGACATATTTCTGTTACCTTTTATCCTAGCATCTGCATAAAACATGGACAAAACCCATGTAGTAATTTTTAATGTAGCCCTGAAGACCCCCTGAAGTACTAAAAGATAATTTTACCATCTTTTAAACAGGTTATGCTTTAAGAAATACTGCTCATAAACAAACTGAGGGGACTACAAGAACCTAAAACTAGTAGGGGTGGGCAGTATGGCAAAAATATAACATCTCGATACTTCTAAACATTTTCAGGATACACAATATGGATCGTGATATTTAATTTTTCTGAAGTTTGATATGTTGGAACAGACAAAAAGGGACAAATTATGCCACATTTAAAAAATACTACCGAAAACAATGAACAATGATTTTTTTCAGTGTCTCACATACTGCACTAAACCCAATTAAACAGGACTAATTATGCTCTCTTTGTTATGATGCGTGCAATTGTTTAGTGTTCTTTAGTGACTTAAGTAGTAACGATATCCATGATATGCTCTGGAAAGCATATTGTGACCTAATGTGACAAATTATCATGATAATGTGACAAATTATCATGATATTATTGATATTATCAGATTGCCCACCCCTAGTAATTCATTTTCTTTGTTGACTTCTGCAGGGATCGACTATAAAACAACCACTATACTGCTTGATGGGCGCAGAGTTAAGCTGCAGCTTTGGTGAGTATATCTGCATCAGAATGAGCACAGATACAGCTGCCAGATTTCCAAATGAATTGGAAGGAAGTGACAGTCACAGCTTTCAGTCTTTTCCCAGACACATGTAGAACAGTTTTGTTCATGGCTAACCCATTTTTTGTGTTCAGGCGTGAATTTGAATTTACATTTGATCCTGTACATGTTTGAGGTCACTATCTGTTTAACAGCAATGTGTAACAGTTAGTAAGTGTAACAGTTAAACAGTGATGAGAAACTGGAGATTGTCCCTGCAATTGTACCTTCAGGAAACGCAGCAAAGATCTTTTGGTTAGTGAAATATGAAGAGAACATGCCAAAAGTCTGAGTATGTAAATTATACCATTGCTCAACACAATTTTCCAGTGAAGCGTACAGCCAAGTCAATCCTGCCAAGCATGCCCACAAGCCTTATTTAAATTCTAGAATATTTTTAGAGGCCTGCACTCTCACTTGAGTCAGGCTTAAATTATTAATTATATCTCGGCAGATGAGGCATCTTAGTGAGGAGTGTTTATAATAATTCGTCCTGTACCCCTGGCGACATACTAGCGCATCTTGGCCACTTGTAGAGCTGAGCCGTGTACTGTAAATGATTCAGAAAGCTCTGCTCCTACTCACGGTCTGCTGCCCTGGCACCGTGCACCAGGAGCCAATCACTTTACAAAGTACAGGACAGAGAGTAACCACAGAAATATCTAAGCTCCTGGAAAGCTGAACAAGAACAAGAACATTGTAAAGTGAATGCTGTTGTTTTCTTGTTGTTCTTTTGTAGGGACACATCTGGACAGGGTCGCTTCTGCACCATCTTCCGCTCTTATTCCAGAGGAGCACAGGTATGAACTAGGGATGCACCGATCCAGCCTTTTCTCTCCCAATACCAATTTAGATATCTGAGATCTTATTAGTATTATATTAGTATTAGCTAATACCGAGTGCAAGTCTGATACCAGTGCACTGTTAAAGGAATAATTTAAAAGATTTTCCTCTTACCGCAGACGCAGTCGATCAGCCTAGACATGATTGGTTTATTTTTATTTTGCTTCTTTAGATTTGAACTGGAGCTATGAGGCTAATATTGCTAAAACTATAAGTTAATAGTCTCCTAAACCATTTCCACACATACATGCCCAAAGAGTTTGAAGGCAGATTCCAGAAGGCAAGACATTTTTCAGATGATAATATAGTTCTAGTTTTAGCTTATGTGTAAATAAGATCTGTCTGTGCCATTTTACCAAATTCTCTTGTTCTAAACGAGTTCATGTAGCTTATCAATGTGATTTGGAGCAAATATATGAATATGCTGACGTGTATTTGTGGAAACTGTTTTGGTGACTGTTCTAGTGTTAGCACCGTTAGCCTGGCAGCTTCAGTCCACATTAAAGAAGTAAAACTTGGGCACGTGCATTTTGGGGAAAATCGTGTAAATTTAAATTTTTGCCAAACTGTTTCTTTAAGGCACTCATGTTGTGGTGTAGCAAAGTAAGCAAACTTTCCTAAAACATTCCTAAATTCCTAAAACAAGCAGAGAAAGGATTTGGCCATTAAACATTTGGAGCTGTTGATAAAATTCAGTGTTTTTATTCAGTGTTGTTAAATGCTCCACCCAGGGGTCAGCAGTTCCTGTTCAAAGTCTGGTATGTGGTAAAACAGGGTGGGCTATTACTGTTGATGTGACATTTTCCTGTTCTGGCTCATGCGCCTATCATAATAATGCCCACAGTGAGAGGAAATGACACCGCAGTTGTCCCGCTATTCCATGCACATAAAATCATTAAACTGTGCATGTCTTCTCTGTGGGATCTAATAAAGAATTTACTGGATCTGAAGCTAAGAGGTTCAGAAAGTAAAGGGGTTTACAGCATATTTAGAGCAGGTCCAAAAGTTCATGTTCATCTAGAAGATTCCTGTGTAAATTTTAGTGAGAGGTTTCATAGATATATATTACTTAACTCTAATTAAGTAAATGTTTCATGTAATGTAATATATTGTCTGATATAATGCATTTCAGGGTGTTATCCTTGTGTATGACATCACAAATCGCTGGTCCTTTGATGGAATTGACAGATGGATTAAAGAGATCGATGAGGTAAAGTGCATTTACATCCTGAGCTCCACATTGAGCATTTCACACATTTTTAACGCATTTTTGGACTTGATCATACCTGTAATTTAGCAAATGCGATTACTGTACAAGACATCATAGATAACATTTGTGCTTGTCATTAATTGAGTGTGTTTAAGATTTGTGTAACTCTAATTTATGATCATCCAAGTTATTACTCTCCCATAACAGAATCCTTAAACTGACAGCCTTCAAAACAACTGAAGAAGAGCAATGCATTGTCCATAGCTGATTTTCAGTTGCTTTTATTTCTGACATTCTAAGGACACCAGAAATCACATGGATATTTGTGAAGTGGCGATGATATGGCAATGACTCTAAAATACCTATGATACTGGACTGTTCATTTTGGTTCATTGAGAACTGATTCAAATATAACTCTGACTTATTAATTACTTATTCCCCAGCATGCACCAGGAGTGCCCAAGATCCTGGTGGGGAACCGTCTGCACTTGGCCTACAAGCGTCAGGTGACCACAGAAAATGCCCAGGCCTTTGCAGAGCGTCTGGGGGTCACCTTCTTCGAGGTCAGCCCTCTGTGCAACTTCAACATCACAGAGTCCTTCACTGAATTGGCTCGCATTGTTCTAATGCGTCACGGCATGGAGAGACTCTGGAGACCCAACAAAGGTACCCAAAGTGTCCCATGATGTCAATTACTGACTAAAACTATTTAAATTATTCACAGTCTATCAGTTATTTAGGTATTACTCACATTGCCTTCGAAAAGGGGAATATTTGTAAGACACAGAACACAGTACTTGCAAAAGGGGGTTACTGTGATTTATTTTTTATTTGCCAGCGCATGGGGATTACTAAAATGTATGTCACCATATGGGCATGAAAATATGTCAAGCACAGTGTGCTTGAATTTATTTTGAATGCATTTAGATAAGCAATCACAGCTCCCATTTAAACCTAAACTAGTCATAACTGAGTGACCACATAAACTTGCACAGCAATTACGTATGCAGCCAAAGAATGCTCAGTTAGCCAAAAGAATTCAAGGTTTTTAAAAAACTGTTAAACTCACTTTGGAGACACCCAGTGGTCAGATACCAAAGCAATGTCCATATGACTCAATCTAGCCTAGGCTTTGACGTCTTGAATGCCTTGCCTTTAAACAAAGCAAGGCATGACAGGTAGATCCAGAATAAACAAAATGAACATTTTTTACATAACCTGTTTCACGTTATGACTTGTGGGTGCAAGCCTTAAAGCTTTGTTTTGACTGTTCAGTTTAAGGTCACAAACAAGGACAATTCTGCACTTTCAGTCTTTCAGTTCAGTCGTCATCTGATCCTTGTATAATCATTGAAAGGCATTTTTTTGTGTCTTGAGTCATGTTTGTCCTTCATTATTGCAAATGCCACAAGAACATTCTGTACATATTAACATCGTTTAAAGGGAACTTTCAAAAAAAAAAGTCAGATTTTCTTTACAGTGGTGGTGATACGAACCAGGAATCACAATGTCTACAACACAAATATAGACAATATATTTATTATCCAAAATGACCAGTGAACCTACATGCGTTATTAGTTTTTATATTTAATGCGGAAATATAGTGGTAGATCTGAAAATTATGTTTTCTATGGGTACCATTTTGCCTTTCAATGCCCTGTAAGCACCTCTCTGTGATGGATAGTTTTAAAATATGTTTCAGACCAAAACCTTCTCTCAAAATGAGCGCAACACAATGACTCAGGCATAAGGCAAAGTATTTGCAACAATTCAATGTAATAACTTTCTGTGAAGAAACTTTTAGCAGGACTAAACTCTTCAGACATCTGGTTCATGTCACCACCACTGTGAGCGGTTCTGTCACAGTGAGTTTCTCTAGAACGGACCATTTCACATCAAACCATTCTGAATGACTTTGTTTACATCCTTACGATTGAATTATGTACAGAAATTTAAGATCATCAAACACTCTTTGGCTGGCTCTTTGCAAGACTAATCATTACAAAAGAACAAAAAATATTTTTTTCTTTTTTTTTGGGTAAAAATATATAAAATATATAAAAGTTCCATAACATTTGCACATGCCACATTTCATGTTTTATTTTTATTTTTCCCCCCAGTGCACTAAATTCAGCAAAGAAACAATTATTGTTGATTAACGTGCAGAATTGTGAGAGTGTCTTATTTTCACTTAGGAAATCAACTACAAAACATGTCATTTGACTAGGTACGTCTAAACTTTTGCATACTGTATTGCATATATAACAATTATATCTGCATCTATAAAACCTGTACTAAAACTTCATAAAGCAGGATTTCTCAGCGAGGATTGTCCATTAAGAATATTACTCTCTTGACCTTTGTCTTAAATTTTCTGGCAAACTAAAAAATCCTGCTTTGAAAAACCCCTCCCAGATGGCTTCTCTCAGACAACACTGATGGATACTTTCAACATATCATGTCTCTCTCTCCCTCTTCCTCTGTGTTTCTGTGCAGTGTTGAGTCTGCAGGACCTGTGCTGCCGTTCTATCGTCTCCTGCACTCCAGTGCACCTGGTGGACAAACTCCCTCTTCCTGTTGCCTTAAAGAGCCACCTCAAGTCCTTCTCCATGGCCAACGGCCTGAACGCCCGCATGATGCACGGACGCTCCTACTCCGTCATAGCCAGCAGTGCGAAGAAGAGGAACGGAACAAAAAAATCCAAACTCATCTACCCACCCCTGAGCCCGTCCCAGAGCTGCGCAAGGACCAGCTGCAAGATATCATAGTCTAATGACACAGTCTGCACTCGCAACATATACACACAACCACAGTTTACAGCATGAGGCAGTGCTCAAAGTCAACAGGGTTTTACTTCAGTGAAGACGTGTCCCAGTGACTCATGGCAAATAGTGCCCATGATTGTTCCATTCCACCCAGATACTCGGGGTGCATTCCCTGTACTGGATCTGAATGTGATTGCTCAAAGAGATTGAACAGACCCACAAGAAGGGATTTGTTTCAGAGTGTGAAGCCACTATTTCACCATATTTTGCATATATGTACAGAATATTTCATCCTGTTTGTAAATGAAGAGTTAGAAACGTAAATGGTACTGCATTTTGGCATTGAGGACAAAAAATATTTTACTGAGCTTGGACCAAGCAAGCATGAGGGCAGAGAAAACGGTCCTGTTTTTTGAATATTTCAATTTTCACAGTGGACCTAGTTGATAATACCAGCTTGTTTTCTAACTTTTATTCTAATGCTCTTCAGGGTACATGTATTGAACAAACATCAGTGTTGAGAAATGCAGCTCTTTGTATTGTGTATTTAAGTCATGTTGTTTGATACTATATTGTTATTATTCTTAATTATTGTAATGCACTTGAACAGTGAACGATATTGTAATATTTTATATGGAGTGACACCAAAGACATGGCAGAACAAATACGAAGCTTACCAACGCTTACTAATAGTTTGTTATGGATTCGCTACAGACACTAATATTTCAAATACACTGCAAATCAACAGGAATTCCTAACTAGATATCTTTTTTTTGTTTTGTTTTTTTTGTTTTTTTAATAAAAGTGTGTTACCAACAAGATAACTGACTTGATTTTGTTTTCCAGATCTCAGTCAAGCCACCACTAGATGGTAGTATTGTATTTTGTTTTTCAAACCAAAAGGGTACTATGATCTTTGCCACTGTTACAGATTAAAAGGAAGACTGGATCCAGTGGGTTTCATGCTTAGACTGGAAGAAATCTAGGGGGAAAAATCTATTGTAAACAGCAGTTATTGCTAAATTAGTGCTTGCACGTGGGGCGTAAAAGCCACAGAAAATTCTGTATTGTAGGAAGAACTTTAACACTGCAGGGTGCTGATGAGAGGATTGGTTGTGTATAGTGTGCTCTCTGCAAGCTTTGTGGTGCAGTCAGTCTGTAGACATGAAATCTCACCTCTGTGAAAGCTGCTGTCAGCAGAATACCAAAAACTGTCCCCATATCTTCTGCACATCAGACCTACGGCGCATCAACATAATGCACTGTTTATACAGAAATACAGCAAGCACCATTTCACCAAGTTCACCAGCACAGACAAGTGAAACCTGAAATCCGAGCAGTATTCGTTGACACATGAAATAAACATTCCTCTTTGTAGAACGGGCCAATTTTCTTTATCGCAGAATGAAGGAACAGCGTGCCCCTCAGGGCAGAAATTATACAACATGCCAGAATAAAATTACGCTACATTCAATTTCCCACTGTGCCCTCTCACCCTTTCTCTGTTCACTTTATGTCCAGACCCCATAAATGGCTGACTGTGTGGACATGCACTGAAAATAGGCCAAACTCTGATAGTGTAGAGTGTTTGAATTAGTGTGCAAAACTTTCAGATTAGATTTAAAAAATAGATTTAAAATAATACTTATCTGGTCAACAAGTATTTATTTTGTCAGATAAACACATAAAAATAAATACAAATAATACTAATACATTGAGTATTGATTTTACATACGCCACTGTGTTTGTTTAACCATTTCCAAACATCTCTTTGTAGCAGCCCGGTATTATTTGTAGTTATCATCTAATGCCTGGTTTGGCTAAGCAATACCTCATCATGTTAAATTTAAGTGTGCGGGTGATGGAATTTAACTAATCTGTGCAGTGGCTGGGGGCATCCAGGAGAAATCTGGTACCAAACCTTGTACTTCTAACAAGGTCACAAGATATCCATTACGTTTTGTGCAAAAAAAGAAAAAAAAAAGTTCTTTTTACTTTTTACTGTGTTTATTTATGCTTATTTACATTTAATCTAAATGTTTTCACAAGCAAAAACACATTTATTTCCAAGATAAATGGCTTTAAATGATGTGCTCAGGTCCTTAAAATTTTTTGCACAGTACTGTACATCATGTTAGAATTATACTCAGTTACATGCACTCAAGCAAAATTTTGATGGACTTGTACTTCTCTTAGTATTTTTACATAATAATACTTACTTCTACTCAAGTATTTTTGTGAGGTGATGAATTTACTTCTTTTACTCTTTAGTGAGGTACATTGCTTTTTTTTGTGCTTCCTTTTGTTCGCTTGGGTACAGCATCTGTACTTCTTTATGACTGGTCGCATGACTGACTTTGTAGCATTAGCATTTTATTTTTGACCAAGAGTGCATCAAAAAGAGAAGAGTAGAGCTTAACAAACATCAGTTCGCTGCCTAGATAGATGCTGGATGAAGTTTTGGAGTTGCAGTTTTGTTATTCAGTACTTAAGTATGTTTTTGATCTACTTCTTTTGTTCTTACTTAAAATAGTTTATTGGAACAGTACTTTTACTCCTACATCACAGTGCAACTAAAAATGTTTCAGAGAAACCTTCTAGAGTTTCATTGATAAAACATATCACAAAAACCAAAAGTGACATGAAAATAAAAATGTGAATGAAAATATGTTTAAAAACTAGAGATGAGATTACAGTATTATATCTTTAGAAGAGGTCTATGATTTACCTGTTCTTCTGCATGAGCAGAGGATCCTGCAGATGGCGTGCTTATCACGCTGGAAGAGTGATTTGAGTCCTGCAGCCTACAGAAGATCCAAATTTACTAGAAAAGACTACCAGGCATCTCCAAAAAGATCCAACTAATGTAATAATGACAAACACTGGGGAGAAAATAATGAACAAGGATTAAGAATAGCTTTATGTTGTTGGAGGCATAAATGTTGGAAACAAAGAAACATGATTGGAGCACTGTAAAAGTAATTAATGCTCTTTGTGCTTTAGTGATAGATGACACATATAACTATAAGCCTGTACAAAACATCTTATTATGTATGTTTGTACATGTCTGCCTTAAGATATTATTAACAGTGTGGAATAAAACATGTCCCAAAGCTGAATGTCAAAACTAAGCTCACTGAATCCACTGAATCCAAAACCAAATCATAGGAGACACTGTCGTTGGATGACATGTGGATTCATGGTTTTGAATAGGAAACTCTCAAAAAGCACACTGATAAATGAGTCTTAAGGACAGGCCCATTTTGAAACTTAAGTTGCATGACCTTGACACCATAAAACAAAAGGCTGACCCAAACAAGGATGGGTAAAAGCAGATAGGTAACACAAGCTTATGCCCTTATATAGTAGTGCTTTAGATAAGTGGAAATGTCAAATGGGAGTTATGGGATCATTTTTAGTGGCCTGAAGAATGGAAAGCCCTTATGTACTGGTCACTTGGCCTTCAAATGGACTTGCTTCAAAGTGATGAGTTAAGGCAGGGTCAACAACTGGGAAGGCCATCTGAGAATGCAAGTGAGAATGTAAGCACTCAACAAAGGTCTATACACCTATACACGCACACAAAATAAGATGTAAGATTTCCTTTGACCTCTTTTTGTCTCATCGCTAGAGGTAAATCATGGTCTCACAAAGCCCTTGGGCGCAGGGGGAGGCCCTCCACACTTCTTACAATAATGCAAGAAATTTATCGTTAGGGAGCATTTAATGATTTAAGTAAAGTTTAGAGTGCCGAGGGACATTTATTTCACTTATTTAGTCATTATATATTTATGTCACTACACATTTCATCCAATTTCATCCCCAGTCTTTGAGCCATCAAGGGCCTTGTGGTCTAAGGACCCCCAAGGACCATGCTAGTAAGAGGTCTTTGGGCACTGGCCCCACTGGCCCAGTCATTATTCTATCCCTACTCTTCCCATCTCTTTTATGAATAGTCCTATAGAGTACCAGCGGCAAATCATAGATCTAGGCCTTCAGTTTGTGCCATAAATGTCAAAACATGGTGAAAAAATAAGGGAAAAACCCACCACAACCATAATGTTAACTTCTGCTAGCATTCCAGTAGGAATTTAGTAGTTTGTTAGCTAATGGCAATTCACATCAACACTTCCTGATGAGGCTAACGTTAGAATTTTCTGTTTCATCTTAATGCAGCAGTCACATGCTGGCATATTTGGCACCATAATGTAACTGCTGCCAAGTTTAAGGTGGCAGCTCTAGATTAAACAGACATCTGAAGCATCTGAGAGACATTCCATGTTTTACTTGAAGCTTGTGACAGACTTTTCACTGTGACTCTTTCAGCAGTGAGCTCTGGTACAGAGCTGCTGCCACTGTTTTCCATTTTTAACAACCCATTGAATAAGATGCTGCTTGTATTCACTGTCAGTGACAAATCTAGGACTTCCAGAAGGCCTAGAGTGACGTTTTTTCTCGCTGAATTGGTCCCAACTATTGTAAATCAAAACCTGACTGGCTGATTCCTCTGTTACTTTATAATTAAGATAGTAGTTAATCTAACGTTTTATTTCTCTTCAGCTCTTGAAGTTGTAATCAATTGGAGAGCTAGTTAATCTGCCTAGATTCCGCTAAGAAAATTAGTTCTTGAATGTTGATTCTTGCCAATTTTCCGCTTGCTGATTCAAGAATTGAACACTTTTGTCTATAGTACTTGCAGAGCTTACAACCCCATTTCCAAAAAAGTTGGGACGCTGTGCAAAATGTAAATAAAACAAAATGCAATGATGTGCACATCATTTAAACCCTGTATTTCATTGAAAATAGAACAAAGACAACATATCAAATGTTGAAACTGAAAAATTTTATTGTTTTTTGAAAAATATATGCCCATTTTGACATTGATGCCAACAACACGTTCCAAAAAAGGGGCAACAAAAGGCTGGTAAAGTTGTGTAATGCTAAAAATAAAAAAAAAAAACACCTTGTGGTTAGTTGGCAACAGGTCAGTAACATGATTGGGTATAAAAAAGTCTTTCATAAGTAAAGATGAGGACGGGTTCACCCCTCTGTGAAAGACTGTGTGGGCAAATAGTGCAACAATTTAAGAATGTTTCTCAACGTAAAACAGCAAAGATCTTTTGCTTTTCATCATCTATGGTACATAATGTCATTAAAAGATTCAGAGAATCTGGAGAAATCTCTGTATGCAAGGGACAAGGCCAAAAACCAATATTGGCTGATCTTGATCTCTGGGCCCTCATGTGGCACTGCATTAAAAAAAGGCATGATTCTGTAGTGGAAAGCACTGCATGGGCTCAGAAACACTTCTGAAAATGACTGTAAAAACAATTCGTCGCTGCACCCACAAATACAAGTTAAAACTCTAAAATGCAAAAAAGAAACCCTACCACATTCTCTGGGCCTAAGCTCCTTTAAAATGGACTGAGAAGAAGAGGAAAAGTGTCCTGTTGTCCAACAAATCAACATTTGAAATTCTTTTTGGAAATCATGGACGCTGTGTCCTCTGGTCTAAAGACCACTCAGCTTGTTATCAGTGCACAGTTCAAAAGCAGTATTCATGATGGTATAGGGGTGCATTAATGCACACGGCATGGGTGACATGCACATCTGTGAAGGCACCATTAATGCTGAATGATATATACATGTTTTGGCAACATATGCTGCCATCCAGACAGCGTCTTATTTCAGCAAGACAATGCCAAACCACATTTTGCATGTATTAAATGAAAAATACGAAAAAGGAGACCCTGAACTGTTGAGCAGCTGAAATCCTATATCAAACAAAAATGGGAAAACACTTAACTTTCAAAACTACAGC